AGCAGGTTGTGATTTACTATCGATTTGCAAAAGCAATTTAGTAGGTTATGACAAATCTGTAAAAACAGAAGCAAAAGAAAACACAGTGCAAATTGTTGAACTCTTAGTATAACTTCTATGTATAAGGTTAATGAATCTTACTGGAGAATGGGACTGGGAATGGGAGAGGGAGGAGAAGGAGTGGAAGGGCTAGTATGGTGGTAAGAATCACTATATTCCTAAAGTTGTACTTGAGAAATGCATGAAGTTTGTATTCCTTAAATAAAAGATTTCTTTGGGAAAAAGAATACAGTGCAAGTAGTAAGAACAAATACTCTTTTGTGAAATTTTTGTGTGTGTTATACATTAACATGTAAACAAGTATGTTTGTGCTCGGTTGTGGGGCAAAATATGTTTATTTTCCGGTTGGTGTTAGAAAAAAACCACTGCTGTAGGTTAACATTGATTACATTATTTTGAGGGATAATACATATTTTTTCAACTAAAATTTCAACATATCCAAATATTTAGATTTTAGTTGCGTATTAATACTACAAAAAGTTTTTGTATTTAACTTCATATTTTATGAGCAGTAGCTTACTTGTTCCATGTATAATAAATGAGCTATGATGAGAATAAAGAACTGTTAACAGGTTGTCCTCAGTTAGAAAAATCTTATTTAGTAAATTTGACATAGAAACACCTGAAATATTGCAGTATTCTTAATGGGAAGATCATTAGGAAGAGACTTAGAAGGGAGACTCTAGAGAAAAGCTTACCTTTAGTGCTGTAGCAATTATTGTTTCTTAGCTGCTTTGAGTTTTTATAAGTAGCAAGATGAGACACATGGAATGCTTAATTACTCTAGATTGTAATTCTTATGTTTTATGGGTATGCAAATACATGGTTAAAGCAGGCTTGAAAGAAGACAGTATTGCTTATTGTTTAGGATAATCTTTAGACACTCAGATTTTAGAGAAAGATTTGAAGGAGTTTCCATTTGAAGAACTGTTTGATTGCTCAGTGATTGAAATGTGAGCGTTAGCCTTAATTTTTCTTTCCCTTTATCCAAACATCCAATCCAGTGGTTTCAGCATCTTCTCTCTCTTTAATCATTTTAGTTGAGGTTGGAGTTGGGCTGATTCAGAGCCTGGAGCCTGGAGCTTCCTCTGGCTCTCCCACGTGGGTGCAGGGTCCCAAGGACCTGAGCCATCTTCTGCTGCTTTCTCAGGTGCATCAGCAGGGAGCTGACTCAGAAGTGGAGCAGCCAGGATGTGAGCCAGTACCCATGTGGGTGCTGGCATCACAGGGGGCGACTTTACCTGTTGTGCTACAATGCCGGCCCCTAGCATAGAATATTGTATTTAGTTTCAATTAATTAATTTATTTGAAAGGTAGAGATAGGGAGCATGTGAGAACTTCCATCTTGTGGTTCACTTGTGAAATGGCTGCAGTGGCTGGATCAGACATGGAGCATCTGAGGCTTGAACTGACATACCAGCTGGTATTGCAGGCAGCAATAATGCCGGACTCTGGGATATTATATTTTTAATCATCAGATACAAATATCAGTAAGTATTTGTTATATACACAGAGTTGATAAAATCTTGCGTAAGGAAAATTGCATCTTTGAGTAGTTTGAAATGAGGTGAATACAGATAATATGTGTAGAATAAATTCAGTTTTATTTAACTATAAAATGTAAAAGTAATACAAACTGTGGAGACCATCATGTAGCAGGGTGGTTACTAATACCTTGTATTTACCTGAGTGCGTATTTAATGCCTGGTACTTTTCTACACTGTTACATTCAGTATCTTGTTTAATTTCTGTAGCCCATGGGTTCTGAATACTAGGATTATCCTCATACTGCAGATGAGGACACTGATCCAGTGAGGTTATTTGCCCAGCTCAGGACTGGAAGGGCCAGGATTTCAATTCAGGCAGTCTGGCTCTAGACCCTGTTTTATCTTGGACCACAATAAACTGCTTGCTAAGTTCTGTTACATATTTAAAGGTAGGTACAGTTTTTCACTGTCTGGTTTTAAATTTATGCCAATATAATTCATGGTGATAGCTTTCTGGATCTAATCATTAGTTAGAAGCTGTTTTTTAGCTATATGTAAATTATCTTAGTTACTTAATAAAAATGCAAGCCTTGTGTTATCTAAACATGACCATGCTTTCTACTTTATCGTCTTTAGAAATATTACCTGTTGTAAGGTTGGTGTTTGTTTCCTAAGTGGCGTAATCGTACCTCGATTCACTTTACATCTTCTAAAGATTTTATGAAATTCCTTTCTTGTGGTAGTTTCCTCTTTGTTCATCTTTTTCATGATTATTGTCAATAATGAATATTGGGAGGGAGAAGAGATAAGATAAACCCAAACTCAGATTTTTAATCTGTCATATTTAACTTGATGACCTCCAAGTGGTTTTTCTTTACTCTGCCTTCTGTAAGTGTAAACTGAATTATTTCAAGGAGCCATTTTTATTTCTATTCACATAAAAATGTATCTTCTATTAGAGAACAAATATGGAAAATATTGGAAATATAGGATTCTCCCCACTTGGGAGACAGGCAAGTAAATATCTTAGAGCACATTGTTTGAATTGAATTGGTTTAATACAAATGTTTAAAAAGTTTTAGATTATCTTCTACTACACATAGAGATAATTGCCCTATGAAGTAATTTTCATTCAAATGTGGGTAATTTAGGGGTGAGCATTAGATGGTAGAGATGCTGCTTGGGATGCATCCCACATCCCAAATCGGAGTGCCTGATTAGAGGCCTGGCTCTGCTTCCAATCCAGCTTCCTGCTAATGTACTTACTCCTTGGGAAAGAGCAAGTGTTGGCTCAAATAGTTAAGTCCCTGTCACCCATGTGGGAAACCTGGATTGGTGCCTAGCTTTCACCTGGCCCAGGTCTGGCTATTGTGGGCATTTGGGGGGGTAAACTAGCAAATAGATGATGTTTGTCTCTCTCTGCCTTTCAAGGAAATTGAGTGATTTGAAAAAAATAAGTATCTTGAATATTTAAAAAAATCTAGCAAAATAAATATCAAAAAGTAAGTGGCAACATACATTTGTTGTAATTGGTTAAAAAAAGACCTGGCAGTTTACAAGGACACAATTTATTTTAATCTAAAATCTTTAACTATTACCGTTTCTTTCTTTTCTTTTCTTTTCTTTTTTTTTTTTTTTTTTTGACAGTCAGAGTGGACATTGAGAGAGAGACAGAGAGAAAGGTCTTCCTTTTCTGTTGGTTCACCCCCCAGTGGCCACTGTGGCCGGCGCTCTGCGCTGATCTGAAGTCAGGAGCCAGGTGCTGCTCCTGGTCTCCCATGTGGGTGCAGGGCCCAAGGACTAGAACCCGGTGTGCCGGCGCAGGTGGAGGGTTAGCCTATTGAGCCACGGTGCTGGCCTACCGTTTTGTAATTAACAGTTTTTACCACAGTAAGTTAAAATAAGTAGAAGGAATTGTGTGTGCGTGTGTTTAGGTCATTATTACTTTTCTTTTTCTTTTTAAGAGAGATTTGCTTATTTATTTGAAAGGCAGAGTTACAGGGAGAGAGGGAGAGAGACAGAAGAGAGGTCTTCCAACTGCTGGTTCATTCTTCAAATGACTTCAACAGCCAGGCTGAAGCCAGGAGCCAGGAGCTTCTTTTGGGTCTTCCACATGGATGGCAGGGGCTCAGACACTAGGGCCATCTTCCACTGCTTTTCCCAGGCACGTCAGCAGGAAGCTGGATTGGAAGTGGAGCAGCTGAAACTAGAACCAGTGCTCATATGGGATGCTGGCATTGTAGGTGGCGTCTTTACCCGCCATGCCACAGCCCTTTCCCCTGTTTTTTTTTTTTTTTTTTTAAGATTTTATTTATTTATTTGAGAGGTAGAGTTACAGACAGTGAGAGGGAGAGATAGAAAGGTGTTCCTTCTCTTTGTTCACTCCCCAAATGGCCGCAATGGTCGGAGCTGTGCCAATTCAAAGCCAGGAGCCAGGTTAATCCTTTGCCTGCGGCACCGGCATCCCTTATGGGTACTGGTTCTAGTCCTGGCTGCTCCTCTTACAATCCAGCTCCCTGCTGTGGCCTGGGAAGGCAGTGGAAGATGGCCCAAGTACTTGGGCCCCTGCACCCGCGTGGGAGACCAGGAAGAAGCACCTGGCTTTGTAGTGTTTCAAACCTGTGCATTTATAAAAATGTTTCTAACCTCCCTTTATATATTTAAAAAGTGTTTTATTAAAACTGCAGTAGGCATATTTTATATAATAAAATTATCCATATGAACTCATGAGATTTCTTATGCTCTGTAGACAGCTTGCTTGTATGGGAAATGGAGCATCCAAGACTTGAACCAGTGCCCATATGGGGTGCCAGAGCCATAGGGGGTGGCTTTACCAGCTATGCCACAGTGCCAGCCCTGTTTTTTAATTTCTTAGATAAGATTTTCTAGCTGACTGTAGCCCAAGATGTTACCTGTATCTTTTTTTTTTCTTTTTTTAAAGATTTATTTATTTATTTGACAGGCAGAGTTACAGAGAGGCAGAGGCACAGAGAGAGAGGTCTTCCATCGACTGGCTCACTCCCCAGGTGGCTGCAACAATGGAGCTGTGCTGATCTGATCTGAAGCTAGGAGCCTGGAGCTTCCTCCCAGTCTCCAACAGGGGTGCAGGAGTGCAAGGACCTGGGCCATCTTCCACTGCTTTCTCAGGCCACAGCAGAGAGCTGGATCGGAAGGGAGCAGCCGAGACTTGAACCAGCGCCCATGTGGGATTCCGGCACTGCAGGCGGTGGCTTTACCTGCTAAGCCACAGTGCAGGCCCCCATGCCTGTATCTTTGTAACTGCATTTATGAACCCTGTAACTAAATTAGCACCTTCTTAATACAAATACAAATTGAAGTATATTTTCTTTGTCTTTAGCATTTAAACATGAGTTTTATTCTTAAGAAAAAAAGATACTTTGCCAAGTAGAGTTACTTTTTGTTATAATGTGTTTATTTTTGGAACATTTTTGATAAAAGAAACTTCTTATCCTACCTGTGTTGTATTTATGAACTACATTCTTCAATCGTAATTCTTATACAATTGTACTTCAAAATAAGCATAGTTAAAAATGAAAATCTTGAAAAGCTATGAGTATTTGATATAACTTTTAAATAGTGATTGCTGTGGGGCCAGTGCTGTGGCATAGTAGGTAAAACCGCCCCCTGTAATGCCAGCATCCCATATGGGCACTGGTTTGAGTCCTGGCTGCTCCACTTCTGATTCCGCTCTCTGCTATGGTCTGGGAAAGTACTAGAAGATGGCCCAAGTCCTTGGGCCCCTGTACCCACATGGGAGACTTGGAAGAAGCTCGTGGCTCCTGGCTTCAGATTGGCCCAGCTCTGACCGATGTGGCCATCTGGGGAATGAACCAGTGGATGGAAGACCTCTCTTTGTCCCTTTCTGCCTCTGCCTCTCTGTAAATCTGCCTTTCAAATAAATAAATAAATCTTTAAAAAAAGTAATTGCTGCTTTGGAACACATTTTTAATGTTATATGTAACAACCATGCAAAAGTTTAGTTCTGTATTCTAAATGTGACTCATGAGTATAAATGAAATTTTTATTTAATACTTTGATTTCTTAGTATTTAAGATTATCTGGATGAAATGAGAATGTCTGGATTTCTCAAAACAATTGCCAGAAAAGTTTTCCCCAACTTTGAATTTCTTTTCCTGGAATAGGTATTTAGAGTCATTCTCTTCACATAAACACAGCAGGAGAAAAATTACATTTCTTATTGTAGCCACTAGATGGTGATCTTAAGCATTAGTGAGGCCTAAATTTTATTGGTGGTGAAAACTGAAATGGTTGCCCAAATTAAGCAATGTGAACTCAGTGATGACAGTTAGCGATGTGGAAGATGGGGACCAGCTGTCCTCCTTACGGAAACACAAGATTTAAAGTGAGTCAGATTTCGTTGTATGGAGGATTTCCCTGTTCGTGGCGTTTGCTTCAGATTTACCTGTGGAAGTAAAGTTAACAAAGTCTCCATATGTTTATCAGAATTTTGATTCATTATGTAAGTGTTGCTTATTGTAATAATTTCAGTTTCATTAGCTGTTACCAAATTTCTAGTAGATTTAAAGTATTTAAAAATAGGATTTAAAAATATGATTGAGTAAGTTATGTTTATAATTCCTTAAATAACACATTTGAGCAAAAAAAAATTGTGTGTGGTTTAACTTAGGGGGCAGGTTTGTGGCCTATGGAACGCTATGGAGTTTGAGGTCTGGTAGCCCTGGGTTTGAATAGTGATCATCTGTGTTACCTTAGAGTTCTTGTGAGAAGTAGTGTAATTTGTGAGTGGCCCAGTGAAAAGTGAATGGTCCCTGGAAGCAGGACGTGATTTCACAAGACCGCTGCTGGCCATGCCGGGGGACCGCTTCAGATCACGATTTTAAATTGTAGCTTCTCCAAGCTCCAGCGCGTGGGACCTTGAGGAAAATTATTTAAGTCTTTTGAGCTTTATTTTTGTTTCATATGTTTAAGAGAGTAATAATTGCTTCAGAAATAGTAAATGAAAGAATGTGCGATTATAGAAAGCACAGGAGTTGTGGGGAAAGGCGCAGCGCTGTGTTTCAGTGGGTAAAACTGCTACCTGGGAAGCCAGCATTCCATATGGGCACCAGTTCGAGTTCTGCCTGCTCCACTTCCAATCCAGATCCTTGCTAATGTGCCTGGGAAACCAGCAGAAGATTGCCCAAGTGCTTGGGCCCCTGTACTCACATGGGAGACCCAGAAGAAGCTGCTGGCTTCACCTGGCCCATCCCGGCTGTTGCAGCCAAATGGAGTGTGACCCAGTGGATGGAATCTCCCTCTGTCTCTCCCCCTCTCTATAACTCTACCTTTCAAATAAAATAAGTCTTTTTTTTAAAAAAAATGAGAATATGTTGAGGAATATTTGTATGTAACTCACACTTTTTCTTAGCATATTACTGACATGCATTGGGTAGGACTCTGTAATTCTGTTTTATTGTTCATGATGTCTTATAATAGTGCATGATAATTAGTCATTCCCTGTCTGTTTTCAATTTTTGTGACTGTGAGTAGTATATCCTTTATGTTTCATTTATTTTACTTCTGTGGAGTAGTTACCCAAAAGAGATTTCGTCACATCAGAAGATATGCTTTAAAAGTATATAAATGAATTCTCACTAGCTTACTCTGCAGAAAGTTTTGAGCACTTTATATTCCCGTTGGAGAGTATGCAGATGTCTTTTCTCCACACGTTGACTAGCATGAGATGTTTACGTTTCATTTTTTGCTAATCTGATAAGTCTTAAATTCCATTTGCTGAACCAGTAGTGAGCGATGGGTGTCCTTTAATTATTAGGAGAATAAATCGGTTCATATTCTTTGTCTATTTTTTTAAATAAAGTTCCTTACTGGAATATTGGTTAGTAGTGCTTGTGATGGTGTTACATTAGGTAAGAAATGTTGGAGAAATGGATCTGATTAATTATATTTTGTTTTGCAGTTTGGGAAATTAAAAGGTTTGCATGTGCCTCATTTCTTTTCCCTCTGAGTTGATTCCCCCCTTACTACCCAAATCCCAGGGCCAATGGTTTGATAATATATAGTGGTAGAGAGAGGGCTGGGAGCGGAGGGAACACACCTGCCTGACCAGGAAGTTAAGTTCTTAACTACTACTGGGAGGTCAAGATTTTTTTTTTTACAGGAAGTAAATTTCAAGTGACCGTTTAGGAATTAGTATTGAACCCAATGGTTTGCACATGCTCTTCATCTTCACTGAATTGGATATATCTTACTATTTTCTGTTTGTTTCTTCAGATTTATCTTCATTGCTAAGCGTATAGTTGTATCATAGTGTGAAGATTTCAAATATGATTAATTTTGTTTTCATGTAATTATTGGTGTTACTAGGGTTTCTTTTTGTATTTTATTTTTATTTTTATTTTTTGACAGGCAGAGAGTTAGACAGTGAGAGAAAGAGACAGAGAGAAAGGTCTTCCTTCCGTTGGTTCACCCCCGAAATGGCCTCTACGGCCAGCGTGCTGTGCCAATCCGAAGCCAGGAGCCAGGCACCTCCTCCTGGTCTCTACTGGGGTTTCTAACTGGAGAAGTCTAAGTAAACTTAATAAGCCTTAGTTATATTGGAAAGCTATGGCACTGATGTCATCTGGTACCTATATTCTGGTCTTGTGAAAAATTAAAATAAAGTGTTTTTTTTGTTGTTGTTATAAAATATGTATTTACTTGAAGGAGTTACAGAGAAAGAAAGAAATCTTCATCTGCTGAATCTGTCCCCAAATGGCCAGAATGGCCAGGGCTGGGACAGGCTGAAGCCTGGAGGCCTCATGTGGGTCTCCTACATGGGTAGAAGGGGCCCAAGCATTTGGGCCATTTTCTGCTGCTTTCCCAGGCCATTAGCTGGATGGGAAGTGGAGCAACCAGGACTCCTGTGCACATTTAACAGCTTGACCTCCTATGCCACAGCACCAGACCTGATTTTTAAATATTTTAATGTTTTCAAATGAAATAAGACTTTGGGAAAAGTTACAATATCTAATGAACATATATTTTCACAGAATATGAGATGTCCATTCAAAGTTATACATTGGGGCCGGCGCTGTGGTGTAGCGGGTTAAAGCCCTGGCCTGAAGCTCCAGCATCCCATATGGGTGCCGGTTCTAGTCTCAGCTGCTCCTCTTCCAATTCAGCTCTCTGCTATATGGCCTGGGAAAGCAGTGGAAGAGGGCCCAAGTCCCAAGTCCTTGGGCCCCTGCACCCGCGTGGGAGACCCAGAAGAATCTCCTGGCTTCTGGCTTTGGATCAGCACAGCTCTGGCTGTTGCAGCCAATTGGGGAGTGAACCAGTGGATGGAAGACCTCTCTCTCTGTCTCTACCTCTCTCTATAACTCTTTCAAATAAATTAAAAAAAAAAAAGTTATAGACCAATGCGTTTCATTGTCACAGTGTATAAAACTTTGATTTGGAGTGGTTTCAGGTTTCACATTGCAGCTAACCTTTAAGCAAGGCCTGCTTGATGAGCTGAGTTTGGTGAAGTATCTAAGAGGAATATTCATCATGACCTGAAATATAATTGAAACACTCCTGCCTTTTCCAATAGTGTATCTAAATGAATTTGGGTGTTTAATGTGCATGAGCCAAATAACATATTGTATGAGGTTGACTACAGAAATGGGTATGAAGTCTATTGTCAAAAATAAGTCAGATACTAAAGATGTTGGTTAAAATATAAAACAAACCCATTCTCACTAAATTTTCTTTTTGATACTAGTTGTTTTTCTTTAAAATGTTACATGTTAACATGTATTTTTTGTTATTTTAAAACACAGTCTCAAATTAATATTTCTTGCAGTTTTCATTCCAATATGGTAAATGTAGACACAGCTCATCTACACAGAAGCATTTTCAGGTCTTAAGCACTTTTCAAAAGTGTCAGGGGATCTTGAGCCTAAACATTAGAGGAGTGCTGCTCATTTCCTTTTTCTCTCCTCACTGTTGTCCACGTGGATTCTTGATTTTTTGTTAAAATAATTGAAAGCCATAACATGATTTGTTAATCCTTTTTTTAGAGCAGTTTTAAGTGAATTGGAGCAAATTTAGTGTTACTAAAAAGGCAAAGCTCTGAGTCTTTTCTGAAATTAACTGAGAAAGTAAGAAGATGAGACGCTGAAATTTTATTCTCCTAAGATACATAAATAAATATATTCACGTAGCCTTCCACACATACCCCTGGAGAATGCTGTCTTTTGTACTAAGGCTGCAGAAAGGTTGCACTTGAAAACTGCTAGCTGCCTTCCTCTGATACTTTCATTTCTAACTAAGTAAATGTGTCTACTACTTTCCAAGTCTGTCAGTTCTGTCAGTGCTGTGACCCTGTGTAAGTTGTGGTTACTAGCTTGGCAGATTAGATAACTTAGAAGGCCATGATTGGCTGTGCCGTAAGAGTAACTTAGAAGAGTTCATCTCCGCAAAGCACAGTGACCTAAATCAGATATGTGCTCACTGTCCCTGGAATCTTCAAAGGGACTCACGGCATTCGGTTGACTCCAAGGCATTTCTGTGTTACTATGGAAAGGTTTCATCAGGAGAAGAAGTTACCTGTATGTACTTCGTTAACATCTTCTGTTTTACTTACAAATGAATTTGAATCTGTCCAAAGTTTAATAGTGTAGCTGGAAGAAATGTCAGGCTTAATTAGGAGGCTTAGAATAGTATCATCCTGTGTGTCCTTGGCTGTGGCAGTCATCTGCTGAAGAGTAAATCCTTGCACAAAGTTAGAAATGTTTGTATTATCTTCATTCCTTTATAAAATTAAGAATTTATTTGACAGGATATTAGGAAAGAAATCACTTTATCTTAGTAGTTAAATGTTTTGAAGCTAAACTAGTGTTTGATACCTGTGAAATTACATGGTTAAATTTGGACTGTAGTCTTATGTCTTATATAGTGGAAAGTTAAATTTGTGATAGGGGACTGTGGTGCATATTATAATGGTGGATTTTGTAAACCTCAGGCTATCAAAAATGGATATAGACTTTGGTTTATGGTATATTTTAAAATAATTGGTCTATACTTTTTTCTTTTTTTATACTTTTTCTTAATACTATGCGTTTAGTATGTTTTAAATCTCTCTTTTTGATAATATGACCAAGAAAAATTGTGCATTTTGCTTTTTTAGCCAGTATAAAAATGACTGTGTAAGGAACTAGTAAAATGTGTTATATATGTTTCTAGCAAACTCTGGATTTGTCTGATTTTGCTGGAATTCATGTTTGTGATTTGAATTTTGATTTTTATCATGTGAATGCTGGGTTTTGTTTATAAAGTGATTTATTAATTTTCAATATACTGAGTACCTATTTACGGTTGACCTTTGTGTTCATAAGGAATCTTTAAATGGCTTCTATATAAATTTTAGCAGTTTCTTGTCATTTGAAACATTGAACACTCAAAAAAATATTGAGTATAGAAGCAGCCAGATCCTGTTTGATGCTGGGAATCCAGTGATGTGCAAAACAGACATGGTTACTTCCTCCCTTGCTGGAACCTATTGTTCAGTCTGGGAGACAGTTAAAAAAGTAGATAAATGGATATGTAGTTATAAATTAATAAATAATATAAATGTTGTATGTTTTCAGTGACCCTCTTCTGTAGCCTGGTAAATAAAGAACCTGTGTAACTGGCACTCCAAAGACTTGACTGTTGATTTTTGTTCTTTCAGTAATAGTGAGAGCTGAAGCTTAGTGTGTATCTTGTATTTTTTTTTTTGTAAGATTTATTTATTTATTTGAAACAGAGAGGAGGAGAGACAGAGAGAGAGAGAGGTCTTCCATCCACTGGTTCACTCCCCACGTGGCCCCAAGGGCCGGGGCTGTGCCAATTTGAAGCCGGGAGCCAGGAGCTTCTTTCATGTCTCCCATGCAGGTGCAGGGGCCCAAGGACTTGGGCCATCATCTACTGCTTTCCTGAGCCATAGCAGAGAACTAGATTGGAAGTGGAGCAGTCGGGTCTCGAATTGGTGCCTGTATGGGATGCCGGCACTGCAGGCAGTGGCTTTACCTGCTGTGCCACAGAACCGGTCCCTGTGTGTATCTTTTATTCACTTAATCTAAAAAATGTGAAGATTATACTGGAAAAGGATAAGCCATTCTGTGTGTGTATCAGATTCTGTGAGATCTCATTTTTGTCAGTAGAAATGGAAAAGATAATTCATTTACTTCTCAGTTTTCTTATTACAGAGAGTCACATTTTAGCTGTAAATTACCTGGTTGGATATTTGGTTATATTCCAGCGCTCCATTCCCTGGCTTGTCTCCAATATGTAGAACAATGCTGATAGTATCCATTTGGGAAATATTAGTTGAATGACTGGCTGAGTCCTTTAGTCCCTGGTCCTTAAGGAAATGCGGCTTCTGTCATGGTTTGTAGGATTCCTGGGGAAGAATGGGCAGGCAGACTGTGGTGCTTAGGGGTTTCCTGATTTTCTCCTGCAGTAGAAAATTGCAGTGGAACCTGAAAAATAGTTAGGGTAGTCTCGTGTGGAATGAAGAGGACCTGCTATGGCTGAAAAACACTGGGACTTTGTGGTACCCCGCCCCCCCCCCCGACACACACACACCTGTAGAAAGTCTGCTTTCCTGGAAATTTAAGAGTTACAGAAATCAGTTTCAGAAATTTTTTTAAGTGAAGAATTTTACTTTGTGTTTTTAAAGGATTTATTTATTTTTATTTGAGGGAGATTGATCTTCCGTGCACTGATTCATTCCCTGGATGCCTGCAACAGCCAGGCTGGGATGGGCCAAGGTGAAGCCAGGAACTAGGAACTCAGTTCTGGTCTCTCACATAGGTGGCAAGGACCCAAGCACTTGAGCCTTCATCTGCTGCCTCCCAGGGTAATGAGCAGGAAGCTGGATCAGTGGTGGGCTCAGATTGAGGTTCTCTGATTTGGGATGTGGGCATCCCAGGTAGTGTCTTAATTGCTGAGCTGCAGTGCTCACCCCTGTTTGTTTTTTAATTTGAAAGGCAGACATACATAGAGATGGAAAGAAAGAGATTGTCCATCTGCTGGTTCAGTCCTCAAATGCCCACAGTGGTCGGGGCTGAGCCAGGTTGAAACCACAGCCAGGAACTCTCTCCAAATCTCCCGCATAGGTGGCAGAGACCCAACTGCTTACCTGTCTCCTGCTGCCTTCCAGGGTCCACATTAGCAGGAAGCTGGATCAGAAGTGGAGGGGTCAGAACTCAGACCAGGCACTCTGATATGGAATCTAGGTATCTTAACAGCTGTGCCAAATGCCCACCCTGGAAACTTTTTTTTTTTTTTTTTTTTAAGATTTATTTGAAAGAGAGCTACAGAGAGATATAGAGCCAGAGGTCTTCCATATGCTTTCGCAGGCCACAGCAGAGAGCTGGATTGGAAGTGGAGCAGCTGGAACTTGAACCGGCGCCAGCACTGCAGGCCAGGGCTTTAACCCACTGTCCCACAGTGCCTGCCCTGGAAACATTTTTAAAATTCTCATTTCTGCTAGTTTATTCATACTTGATAACTCTAAAACAAGGGACTGCTGTGTGCTTTTTGAGGTGTGTGTGTTCTCAGAACTTGGGATGAGTGTCTCTCCTTAGAAATAGTGTGGTGAGTATTTCTGACTCACCATTTCAGGTAGCATCCAGATGAGGCTTTTCGTTGTCTGTGACTCCTGCCTTGTGTGGAAGCACCTTAAAATACTAGAGTGCCTCTCTACATAACCTGACTCTTGTTTGTTATCGGGGGGCCGTCATTTGTCACTTTTTATAGAGTTCTCGTTCTGTTTCATTGATTTCTTTACTTTTTCTCTCTTTGGAAACTTTTTCATTAGAATACCAATTGAGTAGAAATTTGAGTTTTAATTCAAAGCCATGGCACCAGGAAAATCAAACACCCTATGGGAAACAGACATCATCCATATTACATCAATGGGGAATTGACTCACTTCACTTTTTTCTTTTTAATATTTATTTACTTATTTGAAAGAGTGACAGATATTCCACCCCATGCTTCACTCCCCAAATGGCTGCCACCACCAGGGCTGGGCCACACAGAAGCCAATGGCCAAGAGCTTCATCTGGGTCTCCCACATGGATGGCAGGGGCCCAAGCACTTGGGCCATCTGCTGTTAATCTTTTTGGTGCCTTAGCATCAGCAGGGAGCTGGATCAGAAGTGGAGCAGCCAGTACTTGAAGCCACACTCATATGGGATGGCAGGGTTGGAGGCAGTGGTTTTAACCACGATGCCAGCCCCTCCATTTACTTTTAAGGAAATTATTCAGCATTTGTTTCACATTTGTATTTATAAAATAAGGATTCAGCAGCTTATATTCCAATGGGGTTTATGCTATTGCTCTATTAAGGAATTCTTGGGTACTTTCCAGTCTTTTCCTGTTAGAAGCAACGTTGCAGTAAATACCCTTGTGTATATGTCATTTTACATATAGAAAATTGAAACCTTTTATAGTCTTACATGGACAGTTCTTAAACTTACTGTATTAAAGTGCAGTGGTAATATAATTATCTATAAATAAAAATTTGAAACCAAGGCTAAATTTCCTTTAGAGGGAGTCAATCCTGTGTTGACATAACTTAGAAGCCTTTGTGTTTGTTCATCTATTTTCATTTTCCTAATGCTATAGCTTTATTATTATTTTAGATAGGCATTATAAGCAATAGCCTTTGTGACTCACCCATCTGAGGTTAAGAATGAAAACATTTTGATGTCAGGGATTACTCTTTGTTGCTATTTTTAGTTTTCCACTGAATTGGAGGTAAAAAATGAGAAAAAAAAAATGGTCCTTTCTGGATGCAGGTTTAAAAGTTACTGGCAGATTAACAGACTTAAATGTGACTATTTTAAGTTACTCTAAAGTATGTTTGTTAGAGCAAAAAGTGAGCGACTGTTGCATTGCTTGAGTCTGCTATTCCCCAGTGCTGCCCCTAAGAATGAGGCAGTGTTAGCAATTTGTGTTTTATCATGTATAATAATCAACATACACATATGTTCTTTTGGTTTAAACTTTTGAAAAGAACACAAAATTGTGCTCTACAACGGTATATTAACTTTCTCTGTATTAAAAAGTGAGGCTTACAGCTTTATCCTAAAATGAAAGGATTTATAAGAGATGTATTTGTTTCAGCAATGCATTGTCTCCTTCAGATGCTGAATGGCTTTGCTCTGAGAGATTTTCGGTGTATCAGCCACAGGTATCCTGTATGCTTTGTTGGATTACTTATATCAAGATGACCAATTTCTGTGGCCCACTTAATATTTGTATTTACAGCAGATGCTGCGTTTCTTATTCACTTTTCAATTTCAGGAGAAATATGTGTTTATCATCTTCCTCCTCTTTTTTTTTTTTTTAAAGCAAAGTTTGTGCTGTTTTCTAGAATTTAAAAAATTTAGCTTCAGTTTGCTATTCAGATTATGCAAGAATATTCTGATAGCCTCATTGGATCAGTTTATGCTTGTGTATGTATTGAGAAATTGTGCTCCATAAAGATGTACATGTATTATTAAAAACTTTAAAAAATAACTCAATAATAGCAATACAATAATAATTTTACTTGATTAAATATTTATTTTACTTATTTGGAAGACTGAGAAGGAAAGGAGAGAGAGACATCTTCCATCTACTAGTTCACTTCCCAAATGGCCACAGCGGCAGGGGCTGGGCCAAGCCAAAGTCAGGAGCCTGGAACTCCCATCCTTGTCTCCCAGATGGGTGGTGGGCATGTCTGCTGCTTCCCCAGGCACATTAGCAGGGAGCTGGATTGGAAGCAGAGCACCTGGGACTTGAATCAGCACTCAGTTGGTGCTGATCTTGCAGATGGCAGCTTACTGTGCCACAACGCTGACCTTTTGCCTTTGACGTAATACAAATACAACCACCCATGGGAGAACTTGTGCATTTATAAATAAAACTTTGGTTTAGTTGGGTGTATTTTTACCGTAGATGTGATCTTAATTTTCTCCACAGAGTGTTTTTTCCCTGAACAATGTTTCCCTGAAATCTTATAAGTTCATTTAGATTTACTTCCTTTTGTGGGGTCTCTTTTTACAAATTGTTTCATGGTATTCTTTAGCATGAGATTGCCTTCTGACTTTATTTAAAATTTTTTTTTTCTTTTAACTTGGGAAGGAGGAAGGAAGGGAGAAGAGGAAGAGATCTTCCATCTGCTAGTTCACTCTCCAAATACCTGCAAAGACCAGAACACAGCCCAGGCACGTGCTAGGAGCTGGGAATGCAATGCCGGCTTCCTGCATAAGTTTCAGGAACCCAATTATGTGAGGCATCACTGCTCTCTCCCAGGATGTGCAGTAGAAGGGAGCTGGAGTCAGGAGCTCAAGCTGTCAGTCAAACCCAGGCCCTCTGATGTGGCATGTGGGTGTTCTGACCACTGTACTGAATATTCAGCTCTCTGTCTTCCTGCTATTGACGCAGGTTTTTGACTCATATTTTCAATTATTAGAAATAACTGCCTCAGGGCTAGCATTGTGGTATAGTGGGTAAACCTGCTGCCTGCCACTCCGGCATCCCATATGGGCACTGGTTTGAGTACTGGTTGTTCTGCTTCCAGTCCAGCTCCCTGCTAATGCCTGGGAAAAGCAGCAGATGATGGTCCAAATGTTTGGGCCCCTGCCACCAGGTGGGAGACCCCAGATGAAGCTCTTGGCTTCTGGCTGAGTGGGCATCTGAGAAGTGTACCAGCAGATGGAAGATCTCTCTAACTCTTCCAATTATATGAGAAATACTGCCTTAAGAGAAATGAAGGTTCAGAAAATTTGTTTGACTTGCTCAAGGTTTTACAGATGATATCTAGTTGGGGAAAGCTGGGTAGAATATAAGCAGATATACTGAAGGACATCTTTTATCTGCTACTTTTTGCGCATGTGGGAATATTTTTCTATTATACATAAAGATCAAAGGATATGTGTATTTTAAGAAAATTAGTATAGTAATAAATATATATTGTAAGATAAATAGTAATAAATATCAGATAAACTAACTTAAGCTGTTTGTTAGGGTTAGCTGTTAGTGTTGTTAATACATCCAACTGTGCAAGTATAATTGCATAGAAATGAAGAGTCTTGTTTGAGGTGAGAGTTAACATGCATTTTTTTTTTCCCCCATCCTGGCATTGTGCAGGCTAAATGAAAGCTTGAAATGGGAGCAGTTAATCCCTTGTAGAGTAGACAGTAAGCTACCTTTCAAGGTAGGACTTGCGTGCGTTTTATTTAGGACAGAGTTTGTCTTTATGTGTGCATGCTCAGGGACTCAAGTCTGAAGTCAGTGAAGGATCTCTAAAGGTTTCTTAGCGATTTGGTAAATAGATGATAATTATTAATTATTTATTCCTCTACATTTCTGAGGCGGTGTTTGCTTTAGTTTCTTTGGCCTTTCTTTATTTCTAAGGAAATATGAATGCTATAAAGGAGTTTGATTAATCATGCATGCCATTGACTATCTTTTTAGTTCATTTTGTGAAATTGTCTTATGGTCTACATAGTCTGTTCCCACTGCTTTAAATATGGAAACTTGGCAAGTCATTTAATGTCTCTTGAGTTTCCTGTATTCAGGAGTCATATATACAAATACTTCTTGATATCCAAATATGTTTGATTCTACAGTTTGGATATCTAGGGCTCAAGATTTGCATTTTGTAAACAAATTGTGTCTGATTCTAAATTTTGGGTAGCAACTATTAAGAGTTTGGGTTGCACAGAATTTCTTTGAAAATTTAACCAAATGCATTCAGTTCCAGAGTTCAGATAGTGAGAATTTGGATTCTTGAAGGTTTGGATAGTGAAGAAAATTGTGTATGAATTTACTTTGCATGTATTGGACAGAGCCTTGAGCTACAGGCTCAGCACTGGCAAGGGCCAGTGAGGCCAAATGTTTCCTTGTCCAACTCCGGCAACCCCAGTTGGGCATAGATCCAGAGTGAGCTGCGGCTGGCCCTGCCTGGACAGGACTGAACTAAGACTTTTTAAGGGAAGGAGTGTTGTTCATTTATCTATCTGTTGGCACCAAATCTTACACATAAAATGTTCATAATTATTAATGATAATTAGAATTTCCTCTGAAAGTTTTTAGTTGAGAACTAAAGTTAAAATTTTATTATTTTTATATTCTACATGTGGTATTTTACAAAACATATATTTAGTTAATCTTTTTTGTTGAGCTGAAGAAGGGAAGGGAATACAGCAATGATTTCATAAAGGTTAGTTTTCACAACTGAAATAAAATTTTCCTACAAGTTAAATTTGGGCATGGCTTTTCCTTTGTGGGGATATAAAAAGTTCTTCTAAGTTGGCTTTTGGTTAATATATGAGTAGAAGTGGGTACTGTATGTTTAATATAATCCAATGTGTCTGAGTTAATTGTTCCACTTTAATTAGAGGATTAAGAGCAAAAATCCAGAAAGGAACCATTCCCTTTTGGCTGCTAAGGGTTCCCCTGATGTCACATTTCCTTGGTTCTGCTCCTGGAATGTCTTCCCGTTGAGGGTGATGTGCACATTACTCCAGATTTTTAGTAACATCACAGAAGACCAGGGAAAATGCTTGCCATTCAGTTCTTACCATGTGAGTTCTGAATGGCCTGTGATATGCTGGAATACAGTGTTGACACCTATAATAGGAGTTCAGATGGCCGCCTGTCCTGTTTGTTTTTTTTTTTCCATTTTGAATAATCTATCAATTTAAATACTTTGAATAAATGAGAATAATTTATTCTTAGGGTCCTGATGAAGAGGCTGTTGTGGATCTTGGCAAAACCAGCTCAACTGTGAACACCAAGTTTGAAAAAGAAGAACTTGAAAGTAAGTTTGTTTTATACTTAGTGGAGTAGATTACTGATTAATGTTTGTTAGTGTCCTTTAAGTTGAAGCCATATGTTGAAACATGAGGTAGAGCATCCAGTTGGAAGAGTGTTTAAAAAACTGTAGTGCAGGAGGCACACTCATCACCACTACCTAAATCTAGAACAGAGCATTTCCTTGATTATTTGCTGTTTGTTGAAGGTGTTGACATAACATAGATCGATGGTTACTATAACGTAACTTGGAAAACTGAAAGCCCATAGGGGGGAAAAGGAAAAAACTTAATTATTTTTTTTTTCACTTTGAGAAGGCTGTGGAATTTGTATTGTGAACACTGTTAGAGTGCCAGACTCTTCAGCTGCAGTTGTCATGAATTGTCATCTAAGTGTGCATGACGTAGCCTCAGCATAAAATTGTGGAGCAAATGAATTATTTGCCCATCTAGCTTCCCTCCTTTGGTAGAAGTTCTGGGAAATGATTTTACAGAATAGCTGCTAAGAGAGTATAAGAGTGTTCCTATATACACTTCACTCAGGATTTTATAACATTAACATTTGCATCACCATCATAGTTGTGAAAGTGCAGAAATTTGATTGGATAAATCACAGATTTTTTTTTTTCAAAATTCACCAGTTTTTCTACTAATGGCCTTTTTCTGTTCAAAGATACTATTGCTGCAGTTCAGGATCCTACTGTGCATGTAGTCATGTCTGTTTAGCCTCTCCTCTAACCTATAACAGTTTTGCATTCTTTCCTCCTCTTCCTGACCTAGTGGTTAGATATTTTATACGGTGCCCTCAGTTTGGGTTTGTCTGGTTATCACATGAATAGGTAAGATTCTAGGTGTTTGGGAAGTGTAACACAGAAGTCAGGTGGACATCTGCATTGTTTCTGTGAACGTTGCTGTCAGTGTGACTCCTCATTAATGACATTAGCCTGGAACTCTTGATTAAAAAGTGATGTTCTTTGCAAAATTTTAAAAACAAAATATTTGAGAGACAGAGAGAGCGAGCGAGAAGGAGCAAGTGTGAGCCCTCCCAATCGCTGACTGGTTCTCTGTCTAAATAACTCACATTGGTTCCTGCTGAAGCCAAGAACCAGGAGCCAGAAAGTAGATCCAGGTCTCCCATACAGGTAGGAACCCATGGCTGCCTTCTAGGGTCTGTATTAGCAGGAAGCTAGAATCAGGAATTGCAGCAGAGTCCAGTCTAGGCTTTCTGATATGGAATGTGAGTGTCCTTACTGGCATTTTAACCACTGAGGCCAAACACCTGCCCTGTGAATGCTTTGATGGCTTTTATTTTCTTTTTTGAGTGTTACATTCCTTAAGCTAGAATTATCTGTGAGATTTGGTTTTATATTGGGCTGTTAGTCTATTGCTTTACAGAAGGAGATGGAAGGAGGCACAAATAAAGAGTTCTAATTTATATTCCAGTTTTTTGTATTTTAAAATGTTTTTTTAAATAGTTTTTTTTTAATAGTTTAAAATGGACTTTAAAAGTCTCAGTTTATCAGAGTTTCATAAAGAACCTCAGTTACCTAGAAGCTTGTGATTAGGGCTTATGAATTAGAGCAGATAGAGAAGTCAGGATTTTTAGCAGTAATTTTACTAATTGATGGATTTGGTCCATTACTTACTACTTAATGTCAGCCCTCAAGTGTTTATGTTTTAGGACAAGAAGGAGAGAGACACCTGAACATGCTTTTGACTTCCCTTGGTTACCTCAGGACCCTCAGCTCTGTATGCTTTGCACACATCTAAATTTTGGTATCAAGTTTGAGGGAGAGATCATCTCAGTGGTAGGCATTTGATGGACTAGAGGTGAAAGAAAAAGAAAAGAAATGGTTACAGGGCCAGCGCTGTGGCGTAGTGGGAAAAATTGCTGCCTGCAGTGCTGGCATCCCATATGGGCACTGGTTTGAGTCCCAGCTGCTCCTCCTCAGATCCCGCTCTCTGCTATGGCCTGGGAAAGCAGTGTCAGATGGCCCAAGTCCTTGGGCCCCTGCACCCGTGTGGGAGACCTGTAAGAAGCTCCTGGCTCCTGGCTTCGGATTAGCCCAGCACCAGCCGTTGTAGCCAATTGGGGAGTGAATCAGTGGATGGAAGACCTCTCTCTCTCTCTCTCTCTGTCTCTCTGCCTCTCCTTCTCTCTCTGTGTAACTCTTGACTTTCAAGTAAAATAAATAAATCCTTTTTTTTTTAAAGAGTTACAATAGAGGATTCTAAAGGCAATAAAAAGCAGAAAAAACAAACAAACAAACAACAGGAGGATTCAGTCTCCCAGTCTATGAAATCTATTGTGTTCCTTACTTCGTTTATCTGGTTGTTCCGAACTGCAGACTCATAGGATTTATTTTTATCTTGGTACACTGGGGCTTGTGTGCCAAGACTCATTAGTACTAATTGGAGTAACAACTTTGTAATTTTCAGTGCACAGTGATGGGAATTTGACTCTAATTTCCACTTTTCTTGGTGTTCAGAAGGAAATAGCTTCCCTAAAATAAAATGAGTTTTGCTGTAGTTTGTTTTTTTCCTTTTTTATTGAGATATAATTCACATGACATACTATTTGTCACTTTAAAGTATGCAGTTTATTGTTTTTAAGTATGTTGTACAACCATTACCACTCTGTAATTCCAGAAGATGTTTTGTTAGTCAGAATACTAAGTCAGGATATTACTGTATCAGCAGTTACCTTTTCTATAAAAACATCCAGTAATTTGACTGAACTGTCTTTTTAGCCAGTCTCACAGTTTTCTACCTTTTAAATGAAGTGTTTGTGTCACTTAACATTTACAGTATCCCTTGGTAATTTGAACTTTGCCAATTTGAGGTTTGCAAATCTCTAAAAAGTTTATAAATTTTTACACATTTATATTTATTAGAATATGTTTTCTATAAAGTCTTCAGTAATCATTGGAACCTATTTCTTCAGGACCGCTGCAAAGTAGGCTTGCTTCCACATGTAAATGGAATAAATTTGTGTTTGTGGAGTATGATATCAGGTGGGCCAAGTTCTTCTTTCTCAGAGTATCTTTTGAATTGTGCAGACCAGTGCTTATGGAAGTAATCTGCATATCCCTAACAGTACTAATTGCTGGGGTAACATTCTGTGTAGTGCTCTGTCCACAGAGAAGTAAGTAGAGACTACCGTTATCAATGGTGTGAACTTGTATGAAAGTCTTTGCTGTCAGAGTAAATTGTGATGTGCTTTTGTGCATCCCTCTTTCCCCTTTGGAACATTAGTAATATGTTTCTGGACCTTTGACTAGGCCATCGAGCTGTGTATATTGGTGTGCATGTCCCATTCAGTAAAGAGAGTCGGCGGCGTCACAGACATCGTGGGCACAAACATCACCACCGGAGAAGAAAAGATAAAGATTCGGATAAAGAAGATGGACGAGAATCTCCCTCTTATGGTGAGAGAAAGCAGAAATTCCCGTTGGAGGGTTTGTTTGTTGAAAAGTAACTAATTTTTTAACTGCACTTTAAAAAATTTATTTATCTCTAGTAATTTAAACACATGTATTGGGGGAATACCAATGAATGTAAGAATTATTTTTAACAAAAGTATTTATTTATAGATTAAGATCCCCTTGGGATGAGTGAAAAAAAAAATAAGGGGCTTTGTTCTCTCCATTTTATTCCAGACTTGGGACTATGAAAGTTGTGTTTTATTATTATTATTTTTTTTAAATTTCTAATTTAGTAGGATCTTACTTCCTTTGCTATGTATTTTGTTCCTTACATATGCTGTGAACAGACTTCTGAAACCCTGAAGCTTCTGGCAGGGCTTGGAGGTTTTTCCCTTTATAAACCACATTTTGTTTTCACCAGAAGATTTTCCAGTGGGCTGGGAAAGAGAACTTGATAAAGTTGTGTACAGAGAAGGACACAGCAGTTTTTTGTTTGTTATTTAAAAGCAAACAAGTACTGAAGAGAAAAACAACATTTAATGAGGATTGATAGCAGTGATTTAAATGGCCCTGAGAGGGGGAAAGAATTGAGCCAGAAAAAACATTATGTGGCCTAAGGAGGAACCTTCAGACATTATGCGTAGCTAACGTAGGGGGCATCCTGAGCTAATAGGCTGCCATAGGCCCATACCGCCCTATGCACCGTGAGTTCTGTGTATACTTTGTAGTAAAGCTATGTTTGGAGCCATACCCCTATAGTTTCCAGTGTGCTGTGCTAAAGGAAAGCTGTGAAGGGGCAAGGCATCAAAAACTCAGTGCGCTTGATTACAGATACAACATGAATATAAGAAATAAAATATCTGTGGTTAGTAAAATTGCAAGTGCCAGTTCTGCGCTTAAGCATTCCAACAAGCCCTTGACACAGGCTCTTTTATTTAATCTCAGCATTTTTTAAAGATAGGCGTAATTTTCAGTTCATGGCTTAGGAAACCTCAGCTCAGAGAGGCTAAATTATGAGACTCTCTTGAGAACCTCTGCTAAGAGATCTTGCTGAGCTAGTAAAATGTTAAGTGGTCATGTACCTAGCAAAGGTCATGTGGCTAATAAAGGCAAAATGAACACCCTGTTTAGAATCGCTAGTGAACTTTGATGCAAGTAATTTAGAAGTTATTTTTCTGTTCCATATAATGGGCCAGTCCGGCTCACGATATCTCAGGGTCTTCCATGAGTCAGTCAGTGTGTCTCTTCTGTAATTCATACAGAATGAACAGGCACACAATATTTTTATGAATATTTACTGAACTATAATATGTTTAGATGTTCACCTAGGTAAATGATATGATAAGCTAGAATATGGAATTAGAAGTCTACGAGTAGTAATTTGAAAAATAAATGATGAGGGAGAAGATATTTGACTTCTTTTTAAAGATTTATTTTATTTATTTGAAAGACAGTGTTACAGAGAGAGAGAGAGAGAGAGAGGTCTTCCGTTCACTGGTTGAGTCCCCAAATGGCCGCAATGGCTGGAGCTGAGCTGGGGAAGGAGATGGAATTTTTCCTTGGAGCCTCTATGAAGAAATCAGCTCTGCCAGCATCTTGATTTTTATCGTTGGAAGTTTAATTTTGAACTGTAACAGAATAAATTTGTGTTTAAGCAACTTTTCAGTTTTTATAGCAGAAATAGGGAGCTGAAATGATGACCAACAGAAACATGAGGGTGAAGTGTAAACATCTGTGAACATAAATAACCACAGTGACGTCATGAAGAAGAAAAGTCATATAATCATCTCAGTAGGTCCAACAGGAACATTTAACAAAATTGCACCCTCATTTGTGATTTTGATTTTTTTTTTAATTTTCCTCTTACTGAGGTTTTTCCTGTTCGACCTTATTTTGTTCTCATATCTCTTTTCTATCTTCTTACCTGTTGTTTCTGTGTTCTGTGTAACTTCCTCATAGTCTGTCTTTTCCTTTAACAAGTTTCTCCCCATGTTTTGGAACTTTGAGTTTTTCTCCCCATTCTTTATCTTAGCTATCTTTTAAATGTTCTATATGTCTAACATTTCCGTGTATTTTTAGTGAGGAGGAAGTCCTGTTGTTGAGAATCGTGGTTCATGTTTTGAGATGTTGCATATTTTGTTTGTTTCTTTTAAATCAATATAGAATTAGCCTGACTTATTTATTCTTTACATAGTTGGTCACTTTTCTCTGTAAAGAAGAAAATATCTTTCTGTGATGCTGGTCTTTGTTTCTGCCCACAATTTGGTGTTTTTATTAATAACTAAAAGAAGAGTTTTGAGTAAATTTAGTCTTTCTGAGAAAATGTTTCACTTTCAAAATGGTGGATTTATTTTTGAGTGAAGTGAGGACAATTTTGAGTTTCTTTACATGCTTACTTTGTCAAGATACCCCATCCCAGAGAGTTCAGTTTATTCTTGGTACTGAGGATGATGATGAAGAGCATATTCCCCACGATCTGTTCACGGAAATGGATGAACTGTGTTACAGAGACGGAGAAGAATACGAATGGAAAGAAACTGCCAGGTAATGCTGTGGAAGCTCATTGTTTAATTGGCTTATTTGACTTCTTTTTGTAATAAGAATATTAAATTGCAGTTATGTGATATACCCAGTGCTATAAACCAATGAGTAGAACTCCCCTTGTCAATGTCTGGAATTTCTATCCTAAATTTTTTTCCCATCTCAAATTTGTTTCTGTATAAGTTTTTTTTTTTTTTTTTAAGAATTATTTTATTTATTATGTACCAATGCCATCTCACTAGTCCAAGTGATCAATTTCAGTTCACAATTGATCACACTGATAGGTCTAAGAGTCAAAGGGATCACACAAACAAGTCTAGTGTCTGCTAATACTAACTGATAGAATCAAACAGGGAGAGAATGATCCAACATGGGAAGCGGGATACACAGTAAACTCATAGAATGGCAGATGTCCTAAATAGCACTCTGGCCTCAGAATCAGTCCTTAAGGCATTTGGATCTGGCTGAAGAGCCCTTGAGAGTATTTTAGGCATGGAAAGCCAAGACACCCTGGGGAAAAAAAAAAAAAGGAAGACCTAAATGGAAGATCTCTGCCAGTGAGATCCCAGTGGAAAGAACGGGGCCATCAAAGAAGGAGGTACCTTTCTCTGAAGGGAGGAGAGAACTTCCACTTTGACTGTGACCCTGTCGGAATAAGATCGAAGTCGGCGAACTCAAAAGGCTTCCATAGCCTTGGCAACTCATGACTAGAACCTAGGGAGATTACTGACGCCGTAAACGAGAGTGTCAAATTGTTAAGTCAACAACAGGAGTCACTGTGTACTTACTTCTCATGTGGGATCTGTCCTTAGTGTGTTGTCCAATGTGAAGTAATGCTATAAACTAGTACTGAAACAGTATTTTACACTTTGTGTTTCGGTGTGGGTGCAAACTGATGAAATCTTTACTTAATATATACTGAATTGATCCTCGGTATATAAAGATAATTGAAAATGAATTTATATTTACTAAATAAAGTTACAGAGAGAGGTAGAGCCAGAGACAGAGAGGTCTTCTGTTCCACTGGTTCACTCCCAAAATGACTGCAACGGCCAGAGCTGAACTGATCTTTGAAGCCAGAGCCAGGAGCTTTAGGGGCCCAAGGAGTTGGGCCATCTTCTACTGCTTTTCCAGGCCATAGCAGAGAGCTGGATCAGAAGAGGAGCAGCCAGGACCCAAACCGGTGTCCACATGGGATGCTGGCTCTACAAGTTGGGACTTTAGCCCGCTGTACCACAGCACCGGCCCCATAAACTCTTTCTACTTAACAATACAAAAAGATTTATGTTACGGTAGACTTCCATTGAAGAATCAAATTTGAGGGACTGGCTTAGCAAGTTAAGGCTCTGCCCACAACGCCAGCATCCCATTCATGTGCCAGTTTGAGACCTGGCTGCTCCACTTCTGATCCAACTGCCTGCTAATGCACCTGGAAAAGCAGCAGAAGATGGCCTAAGTACTTGGGCCTCTGCACCCATGTGGGAGACTTGGAGGAAGCTCTGGTCTCCTGGCTTTGTGTTGGCCCAGCTGTGACCATTGCAGCCATTTGGGGAGTGAATCAGCAGATGGAAGACCTCTCTCTGTGTGTGTGTTTCCCTTTCTCTCTGTAGCTCTTCCTTTCAAATAAACAAAAAATAATTTTTTTTTAAGAGAAGAAGGAAATTTGAGGGGGTCAATGTTTAGTTCAGTGGTTAAGATGCCAGTTAATACTCCTGTCCCCTACATTGGAGTACCTGGTTTTGATTACCAGCTCTGGCTTCTGACTCCAGTTTCTTGGTAATGTGGCCTCCAGGGAGCCATATTTATGGCTCAAGTATGTGGGTTCCTGCCTTCCATGTAGGAGACTTCGATTGAGTTCCCAGCTGTGACCCTCAGTCACCACAGACATTTGGGGAGCAAACCAGCAGATGGGAGCTTATTCTCTTCTGTGTCTCTGCTTCTGAAATGAAGATTTTTGTAAAAAAGGAATTGAGAAACAAATATTTTAAAAAAAATTTAAGAAATCAAGATCTTGTGTATTTTTCTATATTTACAGCAGGAGTAAAATGAAAGTTACAAAAAGTTCCAGTTTGTGCTTGTTGGCTTGTTGTTGTGATGGCTAGAATAAAGGGGGAACTGCAGAGGAACCTTGTGACTATGGAAATTGTAGCCCATTAGCTTAATTTGTGAAAATGTGTTAATGAACTTTTGTTCTGCTGGTGGTTCTATTTCTTTTTAAAAGAGCAAGTTTCTATTTATTACATTAAAAATAAGCAAGTGAAATCTTTCTTACTTATGAAACATTCTAATGTGTTATTCATTCAGATGGCTGAAATTTGAAGAGGATGTTGAAGATGGAGGAGACCGATGGAGTAAACCTTACGTGGCAACTCTGTCTTTGCACAGTCTTTTTGAACTAAGGAGTTGCATTCTAAATGGAACAGTCATGCTGGATATGAGAGCAAGCACTCTGGATGAGATAGCAGGTTATAGTAAATTGGCTTTTTTATATTTAAGGTGTACTGAGATTCGAGATGATTCAAGGAAATAATGCATAATTTCAGAAATTCTTTCAGCAACTGTTGAGCTGCTGTTGTGAGGGAAGTATGACGAACAGGCACAAATAAGGTAGACTTTTTGTAGAAGTTGCAGAGGAGATAGTCAAATTAGGTAGGTATAACTGCAGTATAACTGTGTGATTAGTGCCATAAGCACATATGGAGTTTATTCTCTGGAAATTCAGGGGAAAGAGTTTTTGTTTCTTTATCTTTTGTACTAGGGCATCTGGGGAAACTCCCCAGAGAACATTTTTTGTACAACTTAATGCATAAAATTTGACTACATGGGAATAAGGAGTGATGGTGTAAGAGAAAAGGAAGCATTTTGAGGAGGAGGAAGAACAGGAAGAAAAGTCTAGACCTAGAAGTCTAGTAGGATATGGATCTTAGAAAAATCAGTTCCATGTGAGTACACAAATTTCTTGAATGGCAGTAGGAGATATGTTAGGAAAATAAGTTAAAGATTGTGATTAACTGTGAATTATTTGGTTAAGAAATTGGATTTTATTTGGTAGTTATTTCGGCAGTCTTCGGATATACTGTGATTAATATATGCTTCAGGAAAGTCACTGGCAACACAGTATAGGTGAGCTCTGGGTTAAAAAGAGGTCAGAAACAAACAGGCCAGATAGTCTCTTAACGTTGGTCTAAACAGGAAGTGATGACGTGAGCTATGGCCAAGATAGCGATGGAAATGACAGAGATTTGTAGGATAATATGAGTAAATAAGTTGAAGAAGATAGTTGCGATAGATCTATTTGACCACTAACTAAAATCACTCAAAACAAAAATCTACTTCAGTAGTCATGAATTTGACTTGATGTTCTTTGTAGATTGTTCCTGTTGAAAATAAAAATCCTGTAGTATTTAATCTGCAAGAGGATCATTTCTCAGGCTAGCAGTTTTACCCGATGGTTAAGTTTGACTAAGTGCTGCAAATCTTTGCATTGTCAAAGTGGTTACATTCTTGTCTTACATGAATGAAATATTGAATTAGGGGTAGGATTAGTCAGTGTGGACATAAGGGTCTTTGGCTTAGCAATTACCATGTAATGCAATATGTACTTTCAGTAAATTTTGTATAATCCTGTGTCCACATGTTGTATCGTCTAATGGTCTGAATACCTGTTAGGTTGGTCCTTTTAGTTTTCTGTCAGTAATCTTATCATAGTTTTGAATACTTTACATTTAAAAAAATCAAGTTAGTGCCACTGTGCTTATTTATATACATGTTTCATAAATTAATATAGTTAAAAGACACTGCAATAATGCATAAATGTCATTACATCAATCCCCATGTCCCCTATGCCCCTCTCACAACCTTATTTATTTATTGCTTCATGATACTTTATCTATTGCTCACTGATTTTTCTACTTTTGGAAGAGTGGGAGCAGAAACTTGCCTTTTTTTTTTTTTTTTTTTTGGACAGGCAGAGTGGACAGTGAGATAGACAGAGAGAAAGGTCTTCCTTTGCCGTTGGTTCACCCTCCAATGGCCGCTACGGCCGGCGCACTGTGCTGATCCAAAGCGAGGAGCCAGGTGCTTGTCCTGGTCTCCCATGCGGGTGCAGGGCCCAGGGACTTGGGCCATCCTCCACTGCACTCCTGGGCCACAGCAGAGAGCTGGACTGGAAGAGGGGCAACCGGGACAGAATGCAGCGCCCTGACCGGGACTAGAACCTGATGTGCCAGCGCCATAGGTGGAGTTTTAGCCTATTGAGCCATGGCACCTGCCAAAACTTGCTTTGACTTGTTAACTGATGTATTCCCAACATAAGGTGGGCACTCAGTCCGTAGCTGGTGAGCAAAAGGATGGATCCAAATTATCATCTCCTAGGACAGTTTGGGGGGGAAATATGAGGTAAGGTAGTAAAATGCCTGTATATCTTAGGAAGCCAATGTTAGGGATCTTCAAAAAGTTCATGGAAAATGGTTATTGTGAATCAACTCTATATGGATTTCAGTGTTTTTGCACAAAAATGAAAGCTCCTGATAACTTGCTATAACATGTCTACACGGTATCTACTTTTAAGCACTAAGTAAGATCTCAGTTTGGAAAAAATTCTGTCAGAGCAACTTGAATTCTGCTAAAATGAAGCAAGAACAAATGTCAAGCTAACGGTGAAGTGGAACAACAGTAGTATCATTGATTCCTTATGAAGAGTTTATGGGCAGCTTGCCGCAAAGGAACCAGCAGTTCACAAAGGGGAGGAGTAACTCATCTTGAGAAGGGATGAAATGATGCTAAAGGTGAAGCCTTCAGTGACAGACCATCCACATCAGTCTGTGAGGAGAAACTTCACCTTGTCCATGCCCGAATTTCAGTTGGTTCAGAGTACACAGTTCTCACTGAAGGATTAAAGTAGAGCAGGCTTTTTGCTCAATGGGTACCAAGCCGTTGTGCCTAAACCAGGTGGAGACAAGAGCCTAGCTGTCACTGGACATTTTCAACAAGTGAGATCAAGATCTTAAAGCATTTCTTTGAAGGACTGTAGTGGGAGATTAAACATGGCTTTACCAGGACAATCCTGAAAACAAAGCGCAATCAAAGCAGAGTGTCTCCCAAGAGAAGGAAGTTGCCCAAAGCAAAGGCACAGCAACAGTTTTTTGGGATGTTTTAATAAGTGTTTTGCTTGACTTTCTGGAAGGCTTAAGGATCATAACCTCTGCATATTATGAGAGATTTGAGAAAGCTTTCACAGAAAAATGCCTGCGAAAGCTTCCCCAGAGAGTCTTTCTCCCCCACAACAAGGCTTCTCATTCTGCTCATCAAACAAGAGCAATGTTGCTACACTTTTAGCAGGAAATCATGAGGCATTTGCCCTCCAGTCCTCATTTGGCTTTTTCTGATATCATTTTTTAATCTTAGAACATCTTTAAAGAACACCGGTTTTCTTCAGTCAGTAATTTAAAAAAAAAAAAAAAAAGCCTCTATAATGAAGTTTGTATACCTTAAATAAAAGGTATCTGGGTTAAAAAAAAAGCCTCCAAATTCCCAAGACCCTGTGGGTTCTTTAGTAATGGATTTAATGGTTGATGTGCCTTGAACTTGAGGGAGCTTATGTTAAGAAGTAAAGTTTATATTTTTTTATTTTTAATTTCATTTTCATGAACTTTTTGAGGTACCTGCATTTTGAAGGGTATTTGCCTTGTTATGACTTAATTCGTTCAATTAAGTAAAATGTCTTTGTGCATTTTATTCATTTTTGTTGGATCAATGATGTTCTTATCTTAATACATACAGTATTAAGTTTTAAAAGAGGGGCCAGCGCCGTGGCTCACTTGGTTAATCCTCCGCCTGCGGCGCCGTCATCCCATATGGGCGCCGGGTTCTGGTCCCAGTTGCTCCTCTTCCAGTCCAGCTCTCTGCTGTGGCCCAGTAGGGCAGTAGAGGATGGCCCAAGTGCTTGGGTCTCTGCACCCACATGGGAGACCAGGAGGAAGCACCTGGCTCCTGGCTTCGGATCGGCGCAGCGCTGGCCATGGCGGCCATTTGGGGAGTGAACTAGCAGAGGGAAGACCTTTCTATCTGTCTCTCTCTCTCTCTCTCTCTCTCTCCCACTGTCTGTAACACTAACTGTCAAATAAATAAATAAAAATCTAAAAAAAAAGTTTTAAAAGAGAAGACTTTCTAGAACTATTGAAAGATATAGCTTTTGTTCTTGAGTTTCATTTAGTTTGTTTATTCCTATGTTATAGCTGTCTGAGTATTTTTTTTTTCCTTTGAATAGATATGGTACTAGACAACATGATAGCCTCTGGCCAGCTAGACGAGTCCATAAGAGAGAATGTCAGAGAAGCTCTTCTGAAGCGGCATCATCATCAGAATGAGAAAAGATTCACCAGTCGGATTCCCCTGGTTCGATCTTTTGCAGATATAGGCAAGAAACATTCTGACCCTCACTTGCTTGAAAGGAATGGTGAGATAAGTTGTGGCATCCAGTTTTTGTTAACACTTCTGCTCTAACAGCATTCCAGTATGTTCTCATTAATTTTGGAGAAAGAAAAAAAATGGTATTTCCACATAATTACATAAGGTCATTTTATACTTTTTAATTTTTTCTTATACTAATGTTATTTGTGCCTTTTAAAAATACCAGTTCTGAAATATTTTTACAACATGACAGAATCCTCTGTAGAAATAATGTAGATGCAAAAAATTAATAACTTGCTTGTGTTAAAATGGTGCACACTAGTTCTATTCATAATGAGGATATTTTGAAAAGCTTGTGGAAAAATAGAATTAAAAATGAGTTTATTTTGGTTGTATACAAATTTGAACTCCGTGCATAGTTTTTTCATGTATGCATAGGTTTCAAAATTGCACCAGAATAAACTTTCCTGTTAATTCTATTCCTCTGTGAACGTTTTGAAGTGCCCTTGTTTTTAAACACCGTTATTGTTCCTAACCCTGAATTATTTCTCTTTTCTGCATTTTTATTTTCATTCATGATTTCTTTTTGAATAGTTGATTAAAGAGGCATAAATTATGATCTGTAATCTGTTGTAATCTTTTGAATTCTAAATGTTAGGTGAACCTTTCTATCAGATTTTCCCTGTTGATATTTTTTAAATTTTTAAAAATTTAACAAAAATTTGTAATGTACATGTACATGCACACATACACATACATACACATACACCCACAGAAAGAGAAAAGCAAGCAAGAGATCTTTCATCTGGTGGTCACTTATTAAATGCTTGCAACAGCCAGGGCTGGGCCAAGCAAAATTTGGGAGCCCAGAGTTCAATTCAGGTTTCCCATTTGGGTGGCAGGAACCCAAGTACTTGAGCCAGAGTGTTTGTTAGCAGGAAGCTGCAATCAGAAGTGGAACTGAATTTTGAACCCTGGCACTCCAATATGAGATAAGGGCATATCAAGTGTGCCAACTCCTGCTCCACCAATGCTATTTTTGTTTCCTAAATATACTCTATTTTCTTGTCAAAAGAGTTTTTGAGAAGGTTTGAGTATTTCATCGCTCTTTGTTTACATAATTTGTGAAATGTTTTGATTGTTTCTCTTGTACTATTAAGAGTGACCTAGTTGGTGTTTTTTACTTCACTGATAATGGCACAGATTCCAGCTCTCTTCTCATTCATGGACCAGTAGCAGGTTATGTAGGGTATGAAAAGTATGTTTTTGTATCCATTTGCCTGTCAGTGTCTTAAGGCTGGCACACCTGGAACTTTTGCCTTGCCTTATTTTCTGCTGTGTAAAGCAGTGCAATACATCATTAGGACACTATTTTGTCTCTGAAGGAATACTTATTTTGATGGGAAAACCCCATGCAAGGTAGTGGAGTAGCTTACAAGGAGCACTGTTGCTTCCAGCAGCTGCTGTTACCCAAAGCCTGTGTGAGGATTACAGTGACAACAAGTGAAGGATGGGACACAGTGTCTTCCTGCTCATCTTTTCTGTTACTGAAGTAATAAAATGGCTATTAAATATTGACAGCCATAGTTGGAGTTGACCATAATCATCTTTTGAAGCTTAGTGTAAGATACTTAATTTGACCATTTTAAAACTCATTTTAATCTGTCTAAAAGTATGCCTTGCCATATTTAAGGAACCTAAAGACTGAAAGAACGTCACCTATGGACCTAAGTTCATTTTGAAAGCAAACTGTGTATGGCACATTTTATAATTTATTTTTTTCTTTCATCCTTTAATTTATTATATATTCTCTACTTTGGTGAAATGAGTTCATTTACCCAGAGGGGCTGCACTACATCTTTATTCCTCATATGCAGTGAGTGGCTCCTGATTTTTCTCCAGTTATACTTTTGTTTGGTTCCTTTTAATCATAAGACAATGGCTATTTTTTCTTAATTGCCATTTTAATATGCTATTTTGCTATTTTATAGTTGTAATTTAACGGTTTTTTGTTTTGTTTTGCATGTAGAGTCTTTTTAACTAAATGGTAGTGGTTGGCAGTGGTTATGGATGAGAGCTTAATTTATTTAATGCTTTCTGAATCTCTTGAGCATATAGCTTTGGTAACTTACACCATGTAAGATTGATTGTTGTATTTCTCATGTTTTTCCTAAAAGAGGAATGTTATTCTTGTAAGCTGCACTTAATAGAAAATGTTAAGTGTTTTATCAATAAGTGTGCATGACTTTTGGAAACGTTCTGAAGTACCGTCTTTCTGCTGTTGGTGAGAAATATTTTCTTACCTAATTAATTCAAATATTGTACAAGGGGGTCTTCAGAAACTTCATGAAAGATGCATTTTATGAAAAAACTGTGCACGGGTTTCAAGATATTTTTGCATCGAGTGACCCTATCATCTTCTTTCCATTTTTCCATGAACTTTTTGAACCCCATTTTTTCATGCATTTGGTTAAATTGAGCTGCTATAATTAGAAATGAGAAATATATTTTAGGGTATTTATCAATATCTTACAACAAGAATAAGCATCCTTTAATGTTGATATTATGTTTTTCTTACTAGAATGTTTTTATATTTTGTCTTGTTTTAAATTTTCCTGAGAATACCACCTAGTTGATGTTGTCCAGTTGACTTTGTGTTATAAATATCTAATGCCAACTTGATACCATTTTTAAGTTAGAAATTATTAAGTAATGTGGACTTTTCTAACAAGAGATTAAATTATCTGTAGTGTTTTGGTGCGACCTAGGAGAAATACACTAAGCTATTAGTTCTGCTGAGTTTTGGTTTGAATTCTGTTTCTTAGATTTTTTTTCTATTATATTCTCATTTGTATTTATTAAAGCAGCAACGTTTGTGTTGATTTTATCCCTTCTGAAAATGCCATATTATTGATCATTCTAACTTTCAACATAAATATTGTCTCCCACCATGTATCTTTAACGTTGTTTTGTTTTTGTTTTTCTTTTGAATTATAATTAGTTACCTAAAGATATATCAAACAAGTTTTCATTGACTTTGTAACACTTAGAAACCTGACTGACTTGCTAACCCTGAGAGCATGAATTTGAAGTTTTGGGCCCTTCCTGGTAGGAATTTACAGTGCATGTTGATGTTTGTGTCTGTTGCCTTCTGCAGTGACCCTCATCGTTTTTCCTTTATTTGTTTTTATCTCAGGGGAAGGCCTTTCAGCCTCCCGCCACTCTTTGCGGACAGGTCTCTCTGCCTCAAACCTTTCACTGAGAGGAGAATCGCCTTTATCTCTTCTTCTCAGTCATCTCCTTCCTTCTTCGAGAGCCGGAACCCCTGCAGGCTCGAGGTGTACAACCCCAGTACCCACCCCTCAAAGCAGCCCTCCTTCCAGCCCTAGCATCAGTCGCCTGACCTCCAGAAGTTCCCAGCAGAGTCAGCTGCAGGCCCCTGAGCTACTGGTCTCACCTGCCAGTGATGATATTCCCACAGTAGTAATTCATCCGCCCGAGGAAGACTTAGAAGCACTGGAAGGCCAGGAGCAGAAGAAGGAGGAAAATGTTGGCTTAACTCCAGGCAACTATCCCACTCCTCCATGTGTGGTGCTTTCTGCCTCTGGATCACCTGCACTTGGAATGCCTTTCAGCACATAACTTAAGCGGCAAACGTAGATAATGCTTCTCATTTATTTTGACTTCTGCATGTTTTTTTTTTTTAATTTATATTACAGAAGAATAGATTTACTAAAAATATAAGTTACACATAATTGAAGCCCTTACAAAAATGTTCACTGAGGTTTTAGAGGTCAAGGCATTTAGTTCAGAAAAACATGGCTTTTTTTATAATTAACTTTTGAATTTGCCATGATTTTTTATTATCTTTTAGAACAATGGCTTTTCTTCTTGTGCAGTTCACTCAGGTGAATAAAAGCATTTTGTACTTAGATTGTAATGAGGTTATGTGCATTTTATCCTTTTGATAATTTTTTTTCTAGAGATTGTAGTACACTGTAGCCTTCCTAAGAAAAATAGAATCTTTTTCATTTTTGCCTGATTCTGTAATGACTGACTGTGTGGAATCATCATTATTACTAGTGACCCTCTGTGTAATGCAATTCTATCTTTAATCCAAATTTTCCTTGAGATTTTTGGGAACAGACTTCCTGTTGGTGTGACTAGGTTATATATTGGTATGTGAAGAGAAAAATTGTTTCGTAGTGGGTTTCATCCTGTTTATGCTAATGATAATTACCCATTATGATAATTTGGGTTCTTTGACATTGATTAATATACATGTTTTTCTTTTTGGATTTATTTATTTGTTAATTTCTTCCTTTATTTGGAAGGCAGAATGCCAGAGGCGGGGTGCGTGGGGAGTCTTCCATCTGCTGGTTCACTCTCCAAATCCCTGCAAGAGCCAGGGCTGGGCTAGGCTGAAGCCTAAACCAGAAACTCCATCTGGATTGCAAGGGCCCAAGCACCTGGGCCATCTTACACGGTTTTCCCAAGTGCATTAGCAGGAAGCTGGATTGGAAGCAGAGTAGGTGGGACTAGAACCTGTGCTCTGATATGGAATGCCAGCATTGCAAGTGATGGCTTAACTGTTGTAAACACAATGTTGACCTCTATTCTATGTAGATTTCTACACATATATCCACCTAATTGGTGTAAAGTATTTTTAGTGACTGGTTTTGACTCATGTTTTAGGTAATCATCATTGTGCTCATTGAGCATTGTTAATGCTCAATAGTGGTTTTAATCACATATGCACTATCACCTTTCTGCAAAATACTGACAATATCTAGCACTTCAGTGATAGCTTAGTTACTAATTAGGCTATTTAGCATATATGCAATTCATGTAAGTTCAGTGGACATTTATTTGAGAGAGAGAGTGACAGAGAGAGGGAAAGACAGAGAGATCTTCCATCCACTGATTCACTCCCCAAATGTCCACAAAGTCCGGAGCTGAACTGATCAGAAGCTAGGAACCAGGATCTTCTTCCAGGTCCTGCACATGGGTGCAGGGGCCCAAAAACTTGGGCCATCCTCTGCTGCTTTCCCAGGCCATAGCACAGAGCTATTTGGAAGAGGAGCAGCCGGGAATGGAACCAGTGTCCATTATTGGATGCTGGTGCCACAGGCAGAGGCTTAGCCCACTATGCCACAGTGCCAGCCCTTAAGTTAATTTCATTTAACAGAATCATACGGCTAGTAAGTGGCAACCTACATGTTCCATTCTTTGTGTTCCTACTGCTCTGGGAAAGCACTCTTCTCCTATGATTGTTTGCAAACATACCAAAAAGATTGTTGCAGTTGTGAGAAAGAGAATACTTTTACAAGTAGCAATGGAAGTTTTGTGGTCAGTTTGTAACCAGGATCATAATTACCACTGTTGTGTAGAGTGTGTCCCAGTGCAGTTATAGGTGCTTTTCAAGTATCTTTTCTCTAATTCTTAACAACAATTTGATGAGGAATTTTACAAATGAGGAAAAGACTTAGAGATATTAAGATTATGTTGTAACTGACCAGAACAGAGATTTGACCTCAAATCCACTTAAGCGTCATCTGTGGTGTCGTATTTCACTGTGAATTTTGCAAGTTAATGAAAAAAGATAAAGCTTAATGAGGTAACTAACCATAAAAGAGGAAGAACACCCTAGAATTTATTACTTGAAATTATTCAGCACTCCAGTCTTAACTGAAAAGAACTAGTATGATTTTACTTTTTCTTTGAGCAAAATTGATTTTAAATTTACTTGTTGCATTTGTTTTCACCTCTAGCATATTTACCCTTAACCATGAGATTTCTTGTTCTGTCAGCTTCAGTTTAAAAATAATAAGGGATTATAAATTTTATGTCAGAAGGAAGAGATATGTAGGTTCATGATGGATAATGGCCTGTTAGATGGGGCATGCCCAGGGATCAAAGGAGCAATTGAGAATTGAGGTGCGCCAAGTATTTTCTCTACCCCGTCTCCGCTCCTTGAGAGGTGTGTGTGTGTGTGTGTGTGTGTGTGTGTGTGTGTTTGTGTAATGAGATTTATCAGCTTTTCTGAAGACTAGAAATTATAATGGAGAGAAGAGAGGGAATTTTTTCATGAGAAAAAAGTTCATAATTAATGTTTGGAAGGCCATCTATGGAAGTTCCATGATTACTGAAGAGAAACAGAGAGGTAGCTGTACATAATTTCTTGCTTAACTACGTTCGGTGCTTAAAAGGGCCTAGAAACTCCAATGGCATTTCCTTGAAATCCAGTACTGTCTTCAAGGAGGAAGTTGACTTTGCTTAATTTTGAAGAAACACATGCCATTGATGTTTGTGGAGTCATTGCTTGTGCTTACCCATAATAAAGTAGCATTTCCTGTTAGTTATGTTTTGGAAAATAATTACACGTAAAAGAGGTGAACTAAACTTTTTAGTATTTGTAACTTTTTTTTTTCTTTCCTAACTCGGTATTTGTTAGTCTTGGCGCTGTTGACATTTTGGACTGGTTGGGTGGGAGGGGCAGTCCTGTACTTTGTTTGAGTTCAGCTCATTGCTGGCTCAGTCTACTAGCTGCCAGTATAATACTCCCCCGCCCCCTCAAGTATGATACCCAGGTACGTCTAAACATTGATGGGTATTTGTTGGTGAATGTAATTTTCCCTGATTAAGACCCAATGCTGTTATTTTTTTCTTCCATTGTTTTAAAAAATTTATTTAGGTATTTGCATTTAATTTGGAAGACAGAGAGATCAGAGAGAGATCATCCATGTGCTGATTTGTTTCCCAAATGCTTTCAACAGCCAAGAGTTGGCTGGGCTTAAGCTAGGAGCCCAGACCTGGGAATCCCACATGGGTGGCAGGAACCCACATACTTGAGCCATCACCTGCTGCCTCCCCCAGGGTTCATGTTAGTGGGAAGCTGAATGTGAATCAGAGGAGCCTGGACCCAAATAAGGCACTATAACAGGGATGCTGGCATCACAAAGTGGCCTAACAACCCCTGTCTTTTTAAATTGATACATAATAATTGTATATATTTATGGAAGGTGGTACATTTGTGTATATAGTGAGTAATGGTCAGATCAGAAGGATGGGCATATCCATCACCCAAGATATAGATAATTTCTTCGTGCTAGTAACATTTGGACTCTACCTGCTATAGACCATTACAAGTTATCCCTCCTTTCCAGCTGCACCCGTCTGCCCCTGCCCACTCTGTGCTTTCAGACTTTAAGTGACAGAAAACTCTGGTATTGACCTTTCTCTATCTAGAGTTGCTGTTTGAGAGCAAAATGTTAGGTGTGAAAATAGTAGATTGAACAGAGTGTGATTTTTAAATCTCATTGCTTTTGTTTTTACACATTTCTAGTTTTTTTTTAAAGATTTATTTTAAAGGTGGAGTTACAGAGAGGCGGAGGCAGAGGGAGGGAGAGAGAGAGAGAGAGAGGGGGGGGGGTCTTCTATCTGCTGGTTCACTCCCCAGATGGCCACAATGTCTGGAGCTGGGCCGATCTGTAGCTAGGAAGTCAGGAGCTTCTTCTGGGTCTCCCACGCAGGTCCAAGGGACAAGGACTTGGGCCATCTTCCACTGCTTTCCCAGGCATTAGCAGAGAGCTGGATCAGAAGTGGAGCAGCCTAGACTTGAACTGGTGCCCATATGGGATGCCGGCACTGCAGGTGGTGGCCTTACCCACTATGCCACAGTGCCAGCCCCGGTTTTTTTCTTTTCTTTTTAGATTTCTGTATTTTATTTGAAAGGCAGAGTTACAGAGAGAGAGAGGGAGAGACAAAGAACTTCATCCGCTGGTTCAGTCCCCAAATGGCTGCAATGGCCAGAGGTAGGCGAGACCAAAGCCAGGAGCCATAAGCCTCCTCTGGGTCTCCCATGTAGGTACAGAGTCCCAAGCACTTGAGCCATACTCTGCTGCTTTCCCAGGCCCATTAGCAGGATGCTGGATCGGATGTGGAGCAGCCGGGACTTGATCTGGTGCCCATATGGGATGTTGGCACTACACCATTGCACTGGGCTTGTTCCCCCCCCCCCCCTTTCTTGAAGCAAGATAATACTGTCCTTGTGAGTTTTCTGTGCAAATGATAGAGAGCTTTGTGATTTACCCATTTAATTCTGGGTACCAGGGATTTGGTATAGAAGCAGAGACTTGCCTTACTGATTGAGAAAACAGCAGTAACTTAGTGTGGGAAGGACGATGGTGGAAACACTAGCAAATCCTTGACATGCTAGTTTGGAAAAAGGGACAGATTCCAAGTGACCAGGTTAGCCAGGTAACTACAGGATACGTCTCCTAGCTTTGTCAATATTGAGTTTCACCTCATTTGTTGTTTCCATTTCCAACATATCCCTAATTTGCCCCATAGCCTTCTCCTTATTCCATTCTTCTGTCACGGTTCTGGCAACTGGGAAACTCTGTATTATGCGGGCATTGGTTATATGCCCACAGGTTGAATATATTCAGCATTTGGAAGTAGGTAATGCTCTGGTGCAGTTGCCACCAGAACCTTCTTAGGTTTACTCCTGGTTTTCTTGTGGAGTTGGTAGAAGCTGCAGCTGCTGGAAATTTTGATACCCCTTGGGCAAGGAAGGGACTCTATTTTAGAAGTTTTGGGACAAAGGTCAAAGAAGAGGAATCTTAATAACTTTTCCATGCTGAGCTAAACGCTGTGAGAAATGAGTTGTCTTAGGAAATAGTTTTTATTTCAGAGTCGCTTACCTTTTCCAGAGAGTGAGCTCATAGCTATAATATATTGCAAATGCTTCATTTATTTTTTTCTTATTTTAAACTTAGTTTTTTTGTCATGGAGAAATGGATATCACAAAGGTCTCTGTCATTGGCTTTGAGCAGTAGACACAAATGACTGAGTTTCAGTTACTGATCAGTTTCAGTTTGCTGTATTCCACAGAAATTATAAAACTCTTATTAGATTTTGGAAGTGTTTCTGATGTGCTTAAAATTCTGGACTTGATTACTGAAGGAAAAAAAAAAAACCCTTTAGAGTTTATAGGATCTAAGCACAAAACAGATTTTAACTGACTTTCCATTGAACACTAGATTGTTGTGACACAATCAAAACTAAAATTTTATTCTATTCCCCCCCATGATATTCAGTGTTTTGGGATATAATTCATTTATGTTCTTAGACCACACTGTCTTTGGTGTTTTGGGAAAACAGATGAGACACATTTAATGGTAAAAACCTGTGTGATATACTTGACTTGTAAATATTTGAGATTTGAATTTTTGTAGGACTAATGGGTCATATACTAATTGCTGTTTTTGGATTACTTCGTTGTTGTGAATGTCCCTGTTGAATATTCCTTGAAATGAAAATCTTAATGCTTGAACATGCAGACGTCATTTGTAGTCCAAAGAGCAATCAGTTTGAACTCAAGCAAGCTAATGTTGTTCCTTGAATCATACATATTGAGTGAGTTCAAGTTAGAGAACTTCAGGGTGACAGCTCTTTGATGATAACATCCTTACTCTGTACACTTATAATGTAAAAAACTTGCTTACTATATTTAAAAGTTACATTTCTCAGGAATAATGACAGTAGCTATTAATACTGCCACAGTAAATGAAACTTGTTGAGGAATCATTATGGAAGAAGTTTAATCAGCACAGCTCTTAGATTTTCTGAACCATACTTAGGTGCTGTGAGAGAATTCGCACTGTTCTGGTGTGAGCATGCTGAGCGTAGTTGGGCCTCAATCAACTCTGTGCAGTTCACATGTTTGCTAGATGTTCTGAAAGTGCATGCCCCAAGCATTTGCAGTGGTAATCAGTCTCGGGTCTGTCTTCCATCTTTTCTGGTTCCATGTCAACTCACATTTTTTTCTTCTGCAAAGGGCCACCATTTTTTGTAAATCCTAGTTGTATTCTTTTAAATATTAAAATATATAGCTTCATTGTTGCTTAAAATATTCTAGCTTTGCTAGTATGATACTAACACCTGGCACTGTTTTTTTTTTTTTTTTTTACTGTGCACATATGCTTATAAAAACCATCACTTTCAGGAAATCAGCACAGTCAGGCTACGAAGTGAATTTGGTCCTTACTAATTTGGATTTGTTTGTTTTTCAATACAGGCATTTTGGCCTCACCACAGTCTGCTCCTGGAAACTTGGACAGTAGTAAAAGCGGAGAAATTAAAGGTAATGGCGGTGGAGGAAGCAGAGAAAATAGTACTGTTGACTTCAGCAAGGTAATTCTGTCATTAACTATAAATTTTCACCATTATTCCTATCGAGAAAATAATTAGCAATGTGTGGCTTTGTTAGGGTTAATTATAATAATCTTTGAGTAGACTGTGCTTCCAGACCTACATGTGATGCTTTGTGCTGTGTTAAAGTCAGAAATTGTAAGAAAGATTAGTCAGTCTCTGAGTACCCAAATAATTTTATTTGCTAATGCAGAAATTCTGAAAAATGAATATGTGAGTAGCATGGTATTTCCATCCATACCTACCCATGGATGTCTTAAAAGTTCAGTACCTTTTGTGCTCTCATCATTGATTCTGAAGCTGCCACCTCTAGAAAGGTGAATTCTGGGAATGGTGTTGCAGCACTAGACATAGCCTTTTTGGTACTGTAATGGTGATCTCAGAATTAGTGTCCTGGTGCCATATTTCAAGGATTGCCACTGGGAAACATGTCTGCTTCCCCCTGGGCAGGTAAACACGTGGATTTAGAAAATAAATCTGTCTGAAGTATGATTTTTTTTTATTCTGGAAGATGGGTATCTAGTTGAAATAGTCCCCTCCCCAACAAAAAATACCCCCACCCCCCGCAAAACAACCCATCTTATTTCAAAAGAAGAGGGCAGAAAAACTAAGTTTAAATTACAACTGAACAATTGATCCTAGGAAGCTATAGAAATTTTTTGATAATATTTGTTTGCTATAGGATACTCACAATACTTTAATATTTTTATTCAATGTAAGACTTTTTATTAAATGTGATTATGTCAAATAAAATTCGATTTGCTTAGGCCTTGGATGCAAAGTCTACAAGTCGACATTTTACAGAAAAGGAGTTTAAATGGTTTGCATTGGAGCTTTGCTGAGCTTCAGGCTTTGCATTAGGGACACTGGCTGTGCAGAAAGGCTATTGCACTCTTAAAATTCTCATGTTTCTAACTGCATAATCTTGTTAAGTGAATAAATGAGTATACTTTACATTGTAGATGTCCTCTAGACATGGCAGTTGCCGTTTATTTTTGTTCCTCTGTCACAGTTGTACTTTTTTTCACTTGGCCTATCCCTGTGTACACCTCCTTGTCTCCCGTGGGCAGGAGTCTGCCTCCTGGCACTGTAGTTGTGGCACACTGGGTGTGGGACTCAAGAGGTCCGCCGTAAGTGCTGCTTTTCTTTTTAATAGCTAGCCCTTTAAGTGGTTGTTTAGTGACTTGTGTGAAACTGCGTTTACATGAAGAAGTTCACCTACTTTGATAATCAATGTTTGTTACCTTCTCCTTGTAATTATACACAGGCAACTAAATTTCACTTTTAGGACATTAGCATATGTCTGTAGCAACAAGGGCTATTTAATTTTAAGTACAAGTAAGTTTTTTTTTCCCCATATAATGAAAACACTGGGCATGCTCAGTTGTTTTTAAAAGGGGAACTGTGGGAAGAATCACTGTGTTCCTGAAGTTGTATTTATGAAATGCATGAAGTTTGTATACCTTAAATAAAAGATTTCTGGGAAAAATTATAAAGGAACTAATTCATTTCTAATATTAAATAATAGAGAACTGTGAAGTGATTATTTTCAGCACTGTGTATAATTTCATGAACCTTGTTAGTTTGTGACCTATATTTTGTCCTTTTAGTTTTTAAAGGATAGTGCTGTATTTTTGAAAATTTTCTCAAATTTAATATTTGAGATTTTAGACCTGAAGTAGTGAAGACTGACAGTTAAGTGGTAGTATTGATAGAATGTGTTTTGCTTGCCTTCTTGTATTTGTCTCCTCCATTCTTTGTGAAAATTTTAGCATTTATATGTCTATTAGGTTATAAGTTTTGATTAGCAAATGTCTTTAAAAAGCATTTTCTTTGCTGTTTCCCTATAGTCTTATAAATAATACAGATTTTATTTTTAATAATGACGTATTTGTCAATAGGTTGACATGAATTTCATGAGAAAAATTCCCACGGGAGCTGAAGCATCCAACGTTCTGGTAGGAGAAGTAGACTTTTTGGAAAGACCTATAATTGCGTTTGTGAGACTGGCTCCCGCCGTCCTCCTCTCAGGGTTGACCGAGGTCCCTGTTCCTACGAGGTAAAGAGTTCCTTCCAAGGAATGCTCTCTAAGCACGTTCAAGACCTACTTGTTTCTGTCCATTAAATGTGTAAGAACAAGCATGTTGTTTTATGTCATAAAAGCTTATTTTAAGTGTTGATATTCAGTTATTATATCAATGTTTTGAGTAATAAAGCCTAAAAGAGTTATCTTTTTTCTGTAGCACTAAACAGTAAGTAAAATTTTCGTCATCCTTTTGAGAAATACTGTGTACCTTTATGAGTAGTTCTGTATCTTAAAAGCTTTGGTTTAAAAACCAGTTAATTACTTAAGATGTGATGTTCTGTGCAGGTACTGGAATCAGAGAATGGAGTTGAATCCTTTCTCTGCCACTTGGTTTTTATACAGAGGGAACCAAGCCTGACTTAAGTTTTCTAAGTGTCATTTGTAATCTGAGGGTAATACCTCATAGGGTTGATTAAATAAATGTTGTACTGTCTTTGAGTTAGGCAAAATGCTGTATTCTAGCTGGATAAAAGTTTTCTGTTAAGTGTATGTTGTAAGTGAAAGTTAAATATGAGATAACATCTACGAGGATAATTAGCAAGTTGTGTTGTAAAGAGTAATCATTTTGTTAGGAGTTGACTGTAGAAGCCTAATTGCAAATGAGACATTTAAAAAAATTTTTTTACTATTTTATAATGTAAGTAAATATGAAGAGTTAATAGGAACCTGCTGGAAATTTTATAGTTTTAGTTTGCTTCATTCAGTTGCATTAATGATGCAGTGTCAACATAAGTATGGATTTATATGTAAATTCTCATGAACTCAGAGGGTACATAGTTCCAGTTCCTATGAGTGTGCTTATTAATACTTTATTATAGTGCCAAGGATATAATCAAGTGCTTTTAACTTCATCAGGATAACAGGACTTTTGATGTTAAGTAATTCTCTGTTTTTGTCCCTACGTACCAGATTTATCTGTTCACTGTAATCCAAAAGGATATAGAAGATGGGACTCTTTAATGTAAAACATTTTATTTCTTAGTTACTGTTTTATCCCAAGGAAGGAGCGAAGTGGTAACTTGATAGAAAATTGGTCATGAGTGCCTTCCTTACTTAGTTTGGTGGTCTGCTTTAGTCAGAGTGGGTAGGGGATGGAAAAGTAGTCTGAGTGTTTTCTTGTTTCCATCTGAATGATTTTTTTTCTGTGGTTGCCTAGACTTGTATATCTGGTTGTTTATTTTTAAACCTGTGTGCTTTACTATTTCCTTAGGTTTTTGTTTTTGTTGTTGGGTCCAGCAGGCAAGGCACCACAGTACCATGAAATTGGAAGATCAATAGCAACTCTCATGACAGATGAGGTAATTAAAAGATACTGAAGTCCCTTTGTAGTAGACATTGATTATGAAGCATATAACATATTAAACTACAGATCTCCTATCTTTCATAGGGAATTTAAAAATAATTGTCTTTGCTGTCTGTATTTTTTAGATTATTTTTATTTATTTATTTATTTGAGAGGTAGAGTTACAGACAGTGAGAGGAAGAGACAGAGAAAGGTTTTTCATCTGCTGATTCACTCCCCCAGTTGGCTGCAGTGGCCAGAGCTGATTTGATCCAAAACCAGGAGCCAGGTGCTTCTTGTGGGTCTCCCATGCTGGTGTAGCAGCCCAAGGGCTTGGGCCATCTTCTGTTGCTTTTCCAGGCCACAACTGTGAGTTGGATCGGAAGAGGAGCAACTGAGACTAGAAATGGTGCTCATATGGATGCTGGCGCTGCAGGAGGAGGATTAGCGTACCACTCCATAGCGCTGGCTCCCTGTATTGTTTTATCTTATTCACCCTTTAACTATTTGGTACAATCTTTAAGACCTTTTTGTCAGGATCATTGGATACCTTGTATCTTTTTTTATTTTTTTTCAAGATTGATTTATTAGAAAGAAACCCTGGCAGGAGATTGAGAGATCTTCCATCTGCTTCTTTTTGGGAGAGAATTTTTCATCAGGTGCTTGCCAGACATGTCTGTCATGTATCTGAAACCCCATATCTGAACCTGATGTGGTGTCTGTGTATTGTCGCAACCAGTTGGTCATCATACTCTGTTGATATTACCTTCTCAATGTGTTTTGCGTTGCAGCCATCATAGTCATTGCATTTGCACTGCCATTTCTTGGGCTCAGGGTCTCTGTACTTGTTTTCTTTGGTGATTCAAGTGACCTTTGTGATTATTGTAGTTCCCCCAACCCACTACCAGTAACATGTAAATTTGAATATACTGTTTCCTTGATTTGAAAATAGTGATGACTTCCTATTATACGTTTAGCTTTAAGTTTAAACCTTTTGCTATCACCTTAATAGCTCCTCCCTGAGCTGGTGTTGGCAGGTTTCTCAAGGCTTCAGTCCTGTGCCACTCACCTCTTCTGTAGCCACTTGTTCTGCATCAGTTTTGTTTCTTTCTCTTAGTCAGTTTTATCAGAGTCGATCATTACCTACAATTATACATTTATTTAATTACTTGTTTCGTTACCTTTTATTCTAGGAAAAAAGGGTTCTTAAATACAGGAACCTTGCTTTCCCTGCCTGTTGTACTATCCATAATGCCTGTATTTGTTCCTCGCAAATAGTACATAACCAGTAGATATTTGTCCTTAACTGTTATTTAAATAAAATTATTTGAATATTCATGATATAACATTATGTTATTTAATGAATTTACCAAGTATTTCCAATATAAAATTTTCTTTTAAAAAAAATCTTTTGTATTAAAACATGGCTATTTTCTTCTTTCGTTTTTATTATTAATTCATATGATACTACTAATAATGGGTTACAAAGCTATTACCGTAGGTGGGAGGAATACCTACTTGGGCTAGGAACTTAGGTAATTATCTTTATTGGGAATGTATTCATGATATTTGAAGTGAATTTGCCATGTATAGACTTTTCTTTCAATTTTAAAATCCTTGATTTTTTTTTTTTTTAGATTTTTCATGATGTAGCTTATAAAGCAAAAGACAGAAATGACCTCTTATCTGGAATTGATGAATTTTTAGATCAAGTGACTGTTCTGCCTCCAGGAGAGTGGGACCCTTCCATTCGCATAGAGCCACCAAAAAGCGTTCCTTCTCAGGTAAGACTCTCCAGCTGTTCTTCTCTTAACAATATTTTTTAGTAGATTATACATTTTTGTCATTCAGAAATCAAAACTACAATGAGGTATACTCAGAAGTTTTACCCTGGTCTTACCCCTTGTCTTAATTCATGTCTACTTTCTCTTGGTGACCATCTGTTGGTAGTTTTTGTGTCATTTGGGTTTTTGTTCGGAAACGTTATGTTATTTCTTCTTTCTTCAGAGTTCTCTATTCCTCCTTTCCTCTTTTCTGCCTCCCTTCCTACCTACCCCATCCCCTCTGCCTCTAACCTATTTTGCACCTTGTTTTTTTCATGCAGGTTAAGCAACCCTAATTTGAAAATCTAAAGTTCAAAATGCCCTGAATTTCAAGTTTTTGAGCACTGCCATTTCATTCAAAAAGTTTCAGATCTTGATACTTTTATGATTTTCAAATTAAGAATGTGCAACCATTGAGGTCTGTGTAAATATTTTGAAATCTGAAAATCTCTGAAATCCAAAACACTTCTGGTCCCAAACATAATAAAATTTCCTGGCATTCTGATCATAAATCATGGAAATCCTAATTTTTTTTCTTAAACAACTGCATTTTGTTGTATTCTATTGATGGAAGTACTGTCGCTCATTCTCTTTCATATTTTGCTGTTATACACCATGCTATGGTTCGTACACATATGCTATTTTCTTATGCAGATGTTTCTGTAAGACAAATGCCTAGAAATAGGACTCCTGGCTCAAAGGAGAATTCATTTATAATTTTAGTAGGTTTATTACCAGAATCCCCTATATTGGCTGGAACCAGTTTGAACTGCTATATTGATTATAGAATAGAGTGCCCATTTCCCTCCATCCTCACTAGCATATTGTGTGCTAAGCTTTTGCATATTTGTCTTTTTTTTTTTTTTTTTTTGGACAGGCAGAGTGGACAGTGAGAGAGAGAGACAGAGAGAAAGGTCTTCCTTTGCTGTTGGTTTACCCTCCAATGGCTGCCACAGCTGGCACACTGCAGCCGACGCACCGCGCTGATCCAAAGGCAGGAGCCAGGTGCTTCTCCTGGTCTCCCATGGGATGCAGGGCCCAAGCACGTGGGCCATCCTCCACTGCCTTCCGGGGCCACAGCAGAGAGCTGGCCAGGAAGAGGGGCAACCGGGAAAGAATCCGGTGCCCCGACCGGGATTAGAACCCGGTGTGCTGGCGCCGCTAGGTGGAGGATTAGCCTACTGAGCTGCGGCGCGGGCCGCATATTTGTCATTAAGATAGGTTTCTTGTTATATCAAGTGTATAATTTACATTGCTGTGATTAGTGAGGATGAAAAGATTTTGCATATATTTTCATCATCCTTGCCCTTTACCACCTATTTTTACCATTTAAGTTCATTAATCTTTGGGAATTTATCATAGCCTATGTTGTGGTGTGTACCTCCAACCTTATCTTTTTTCTAAACTGCTGCATGGTTTCCTATTGCATTAAGATGTTAAATATTGTTGCCCTTGGTTGGTGATACTGCTTTTATCATTAACTAAATTTCCATCTGTATTTAGGTCTATTTCTGGAATTTTTTCCCCCCATGGTCTGTCTATTCATGTACCAGTTCTGCACTCTTTAATTTTTAAGGCTTTTTGGTATGTTTTTATGCTTGATAAATCCTAGACTTACTCTTGTTCTTTCTCTTACTTTTTTTACCCCCAAGTTCTCTTGCTTGTGTTTGTATGTTTATTTTCTATGTAGGATTGAAAGATAGCTAGCTTTCTCTTCTCAGAAATAAAACCTACTTTTTTTTTTTTTTTAAATTAGAATAGTTAGATTTCTCTGGTAACTGAGGAAGAATTGACATCTTCATGACTTTGAATCTCTTTATTCAAGAACATGCTTTGTCTCTACAATTGATTCTCTTTCAAGTTGGTGTTTATAGTATTACAGAATTTTCCAAAGTTTTTTTTACCTACAGTTAATTTACATTCTTCTTGGTGAGTGTGCTCATAAGTATTTTATCTTCAGTCTTTCCACTGTGAGATATTTGTTCATTTTATTGTGTTTGTCACCTATATACATGTTTGTTACATGTATTATTTTTCTTTAGAAATACTTATTTATTTGAAAGGCAGAATGACAGAGAAAGGAAGAGATACAGACAAAGAGCTTGTCCATCTACTTGTTCACTTCACAAATGCCCACAACAGCCAGGGGAGTAGTAGAAATACAATATGGGAAATTTGTTATTATGTGAAAACATGTTTAACAGACAACTTTTGGACTACTTTTTTTTAGGGAAAGTAATAGACAAATGACATTTACTTTTTTCCTTAATTTAAATTATATGTTTCTATAGTTAATCTGAGCAGTATTTTAAAAATTTCTGTAACAGATGCTTTACTTTAAATTATTTATGTTCATAGCTATTGCTGAATAGTAATTTGAAATGGTATGTATGAATGTTTCACGGTATATTAATATTAGAATATGAATTACAAAAGTTATTCAAAAATTTAAAATATTAGTAGAAACTGGGATGAACATTGAGCTAAGAAGTTAAGACTCCATTTGGGACATCAGCATGCCTTATTGGAATGCCTGTGTTTGAGTGCCTTCTTCAGTTCTGATTCCAGTTTCCATCTCATGCATACATCCTCAGTGCACAACAGGTGATGACTAACATCCCTGTCCCCTTGTGGGAGACCTGGATCGAGTCCTGAAGCCTGGCGTCTGCCTGCCCAGTCCAACTGATGTGGGCATTTAGGGAGTGAAACAGCAGCTGAGAGTTCTGTCTTTGTCCCTATCTCTCTGCCTTTCAAATAAACGAAAATTAAAAAACACATATATTAATAGAAACAAATACTAGATTCTAGTCCAAAACACATTATATTTTTTTTTATTTAAAGATTTTTTAAATTTTCTTTGAAAGGCAGAGTTACAGAGAGGCAGAGAGAGAGAGAAAGAGAGAAATGTCTTCCATCCGCTGGTTCACTCTCCAAATGGCTGCAGTGGCCAGAGCTGGGCCAATCTGAAGAAGCCAGGAGCCAGGAGCTTCTTCTGGGTCTCCCAAGCAGGTGCAGGGGCCCAATGCTTGGGCCATCTTCTGCTTTCCCAGGCTGTAGTGGAGAGCTAGATCGGATGTGGAACAGCCGGGTATTGAACTGGTGCCCATATGGGATTCCGGCACTGCAGGTGGGCCACTTTATCCTCTACACCACAGCATAGGCCCCAGCACATTACATTTAAAAAGGAAAGTTTACATTAGGAAACATTTTTTCTAGGGGCACTATTAGATATATAATCTATAAGGTATCTGTTTTGTTACAATAGAATTTTGAAAGTATGTTTTTTTGTGAAATTCAGGAAAAGAGAAAGATTCCTGTGTTTCCCAATGGATCTGCTCCCACATCGGGTGAGACTCCTAAAGAGGCCGCCCATCATGCTGGCCCTGAGCTGCAGAGGACTGGACGGTGGGTACAGACTGTTATCTTTTTGGGTTAAGGGGTTAATTTGATGAAAAAGACAAAAAAGAAAATTTACATGCATTTAACAGTAATTTTAATAATATGTATTGATCTTTAATTTAAAATGAAAATAATGGACCATATCTGTAGAGTGTTGCAGTGTAGTCTATAGGTTAATTCCCATTGCCTGTATAAAAGATTTTTGAAGGTGTAGATGAGCCAAAGTCAAATTAGGTGTATAAGCATGGTTAAACCCTACTAATGATCTCTGGAAGCCTAGTTAGAAAAATTAAGAAATTACCTTTAGAATGAAGAACAGAAGTATTGCCAGCAGCAAACATTGCAATACAAAAGAGTATTTTGTAAAAGTATATAAATGTTAATGGTGTTCTTACACTGTAGAAAAAAAGCACTTGTGCTGGTGGTCATTGTGGAATGAAGAGATCTTAAATATTTGTTTATAAAACCAGGATATTTTATACAGATAAACTGTTATCTGTATAAATTTTAATGACATGGCTGAAGGGTATTACTTTATACAAGAAAGATAAGTAACTGATTTACTGAGTATAAACTTCAGAGTAGCTTAATTCATTGCCTCATGAAATGTCTCATTCTCTTTGCATATAATAGAGAATAAGACTCTGTCCCTGGGCAAGCAGTGCTAAGCTCCTGTTAGCTGGAGTTAACTTCCTCAAGTGTCACAGTGAGATAGGATTAGTAACTGGAAGAAGTCGGGGCCTGCTTTGATCAGCTACCTGATAGCTTTCCTAAGTCATCTGTTAAGTAATCAATTACTGATTGGATAGTGTAGTTTCCTTTTATGGATAATGAGTTATATCTTTTATATTGCAAGCTGATTTCCCTTCCTGTCAGATTTTTTATAGGGAAACTTCTTGTCACTGTGTGTTTATAATTTATTTCACCGTTAATTTCAATACGTCAGAGTGGTAGAGTTTTGAACATTCAAATCTATTTGACAGTTTAAGGTTGATTAATTTGTTGGCCTATTTTCTTAAAGTTGGGATTTTTTTTAATGATCATTTTATAAGTAGCAAGCTTTTTTTAAATTATTGATTCAGTAGTGTTTCTGCTACTGTTCTTATATTGTTGTACACACTGGACATAATTGCAGTAAGCTAGAAAAAACTCCTGTCCCTCATGGAGCTTTTACTTTATTGGAATGTTTGCAAGTGAGATGTATCCAAAAGTCTGATTTAAAAATAAAAGTTGAGTTAGTATGGTTTTGATATATAGTTTTTCATCTGGTAATTAAAACTTTAGTTTTACTACTGTGCATACTAGTTTGACTATATACACAGTAAATTAAATATAATGAAATCATTTTTAAGGTTTTTTTTCTAGGTGAAAATCTGTATGATTAAATTATTCTTTCTAAAACTTACTGAAATTATTTAATTTACTGCTTAAGCATCTGATCATAGCACTGTACATTTATATTAAAGAGTATTTGGATTATAATTGCCTTTCTGCTATTTCTGACAGTTGCCTTTAAGATTTATGATGTAGACAGTAATTAATAGAAATGCTTATGCACATTTTGTTGACTAGTTTTTTTATTGTACATTTCTTTGCATAGTTGTGTCCAAAATTGCATTTTACTCATAAACAATCATATGCCTGCAGTCTTTTTAGTATATAGTCCATTAAATAGAGATGTTTCTGTTTCTTTTAAGTTAATGAGATCTACCTTTCTTGTGTCCTCAGATTAGATTAAATGAGTTTGTCTTCTATGATTTATACTATGATTTAAGTTGGATTTTAATTTTTGTTGACAAGACAACTAGGCACCAGCAGTTGTATGTAGCCCATAGTTTTAGTTTGAAGTAGCTAGAATCCTCTAGTGTACAGTTTGACGAGTTTCATCTCACCTATTTAGGCTTTTTGGTGGTTTGATACTTGACATCAAAAGGAAAGCACCTTTTTTCTTGAGTGACTTCAAGGATGCATTAAGCCTGCAGTGCCTGGCCTCGATTCTTTTCCTATACTGTGCCTGTATGTCTCCTGTAATCACTTTTGGAGGGCTGCTTGGAGAAGCTACAGAAGGCAGAATAGTGAGTACAAAGATTGGTAGTGGCCAGGCTCTTAGCTCTTCAGAGGCAAGTGTCTGTATGCATTTGTCTCACTATTCGTACTTTTATTTGAAGAGTCCACCCACAGCGTGATTAACGTGTCCCCAATCAGACTTCCCCCAAAGGTAATTGCTATGGAAAACGTGGGGAAGCCATTTGAACAGGAGAAGATGCACAGTTGAGGTAAAAAAAAAAAATAAGTAAAAATAAAAATTTTTTTATCCTGACTTGTTGGATGAATGGTTTTTATAAATTGAGTAAAAAGGCTTGTATTGTCTTTTGAAGGGGGTGGATTGTTGGGGAAACTGATGCACTGATTCTGGGTGGGTCATGGGTGGGGGGAATTTATCTGTGGTGCTGTCATAGGATTAGTTAGAGCTACATGGTTAATAACTCATCAGCCCTGGCGGGTAGTCCCAGACTGGACTGTGGAAGAATAGAACATAATGGTGGAGATAATGGATCTTTGAAGTGGCATTTATGTTATTTCTGCTGTTATTAAATCTGTGTGAAAGTAGCCAAAGCTTTTATTTGGAAATATATCTAAAAGCTGCATCCATTCTTTGATATGACTAAATTGAGACTTTTTATGTTTTTCAATTTTTGGTGATACTGTATTAGGAGTATGGTACCTCATAAAATCTTGAAAGGCATTCTTTTTTGCTTATATACATTTTGATATCATTTAAATGAGGTGATTTGTAACTATTAAATTCTTAAGTATATTTAATATTTACTCTTATAAAAGGTTCAAAAAGCTAAATCTAAGTACTGATAATTATTCAGTTAAACTATTTCATGAGCTGAAATTTTCTTTGGATTTTGAATTTATTTAGATTCTCTTGACCTTATCCTTTAATCATTATATCAAAGGTATATGCTTTTACTATGTTGCTGTATATGCTGTCACAAATTGTACATGTAACTGGTGGTCCCTGTGGAAATGTGTTGTCTGTTACCATCATGGAAATGCTGCTGCTTTGCTGTGGACTGTCACTCACTGCCTGCTCCTCTCATCCTGTTTGACACCCTGTGCATGTGACAGTGCCTAGACACTGGAGGAACAGACAAGTGCAGGAAGATCACAGGTTTCCTGTCCTCAGGACTGCTGTCCTGAGTGGAGTGGATACGATAGTTTATCCACAGTCACTGTGTCACTGTGTGCTGTGGCTCACGGTGAGATGAAGGAGGAGCCGTAGGAGATGACTTCATAGACGCAGAGAAAGCAGGAGCTTCGGGCGGGTAATGATGTGTTGCAGGTGCTTTAGTAGGACTGCCAGCAGAAATGGAGCTATTAGGAGGTGCAGTTCCTGAGTGGTGAGGAGGAAATGGAAAGATTGGGAATCATTCATATACAAATGAGAATAGATGAGGCTAACAAGGGAGATAATTTATAGGGACAGAGGAAAAGATGAGAGAGAAATCCCCAGGATTTATGGAGCAGAGGAGGGATGGGATGGAAGAGGAAAATGACCTAGCAAATTAGACCGGGTACAGTCTGAGCTCTAGAAAAGGAATTAGGATATAATCTTATATAAACCAAATAGAGGCTTTGAGAAGAAGGGAAGGTCAGCAAGGAATGTTGGATTACTGAGTAGGGCTGTAGCAAGGTGTGCTCATGCGTGTGTGTTTGAAGGGAAATAAAGGCAGGGCTTCTATTGATAGGTCAGTTGGAAACTTAGAACTGTGGGAATGAGGAAGGGAAGGCAGTGGAATTGGGTTGTGGTTTCTTTAGGGAAAGGCAAGTTTGAATTTGGGAATGAATGTAGAACCAAATCAGAAAGTATAAAATGCATGGGCCAGGGTAAGCACAGTTTTTGCTCTTTTGGTTTGGATAGAGGGAACGGAGTTGGGATGAAAGGAAGGTCTTCATGTGGCAGTGCCTGCGGGGGGAAGGGAACCTTAATTTTGTGTCCATCTGGCCCCTGTTAGCATTTCTTTAATTTGCCATCCCCTTGCTTCTCTTATTATTTTTTTGCTTTCTGCCTCTGTATATCATGTAGACATTTTTTCCTTTCAACTTGAGTTGCCTAAATTTGTTCCTAAATACATGTATTTTAAGTGATCTAAAGATTTTTATGATGGCTTAGCAGTGTCTTCTAAGACAAGCTTGTTTTCCCATGGGTAAGAAATCCAAGTTTATCTGGTCGGTTAACAAATATGGACACTTCATGTTGTCATAAGACAAATTTGTATGTGAGTTTGGTCCTGTTTTGATTTTAACAATTCACTTACACTTTGATTGCATACTACTATTTTGTGATTATGAATTCGAAAGGTGTTATTAAAGATATGGTGAGAATGGTGCCATTTATTGAGAGCACTTTTTGTACCAGGCACTGTGCTTGCTAGGTGTTTTCACAAACACTGTTTAAGATCTAGTCATGCTCACTCCCATTTGAAAATGAGAAAGCTTGGGCTCAGAAGTGTTCTTGTGGCCATGGCTCCGCACTCAGTAGTCCCCAGACTTCCACTTGAGATCTGGCTGGGAAGCCCTGCTCTTTGCTGCTGCACTGTCTCATTCAGGAGTGTTATTCCCTACAATCTTCTTTTCTTTGCCTTTACCAATTACGGGTTTTCCTTTCTGGATAGTGCATTCCAGTTGGCCCTGATGTTTGCGAATGGTAAACTATTTTTTCCTTTCTTTCTGATTCTGTTCCTTTGTGTAGTACATAGTAGATCATTGTCCCTCACCATCTAATGGCTGTTGTGGAACAATATTAGCGTACTGGCTTTGACTTAAAATTTCTCTGAGACTGTCATATTATTAGTAGTATTTGGTAAACTTTAATGAGATACATGATTTTTATGGTTGTTGTCAGTTTTTAAAGAGATAATTTTCTATTTCATTTATGCTAAGTACTTCCTTTTTTATCAGATGAATTTCTTTAAAATAAGTGGAAAATTGCTTTTTAGTAATCAGTTTGAGAAAGATAGGATCATGTGTTAATTCATCATCTGTTTGATGCTTTTTTGTTGCACCATTTTATTTAGTATATTTTTAAAATAAATTTTTTCAGAAATACAGAAGTATTCAAATAATACATATTGCTTTGTACTCACCACAGATTTAAGAAATAAAACCTCTATAGCTAAAACTGTTGATAAGTATTTTTGTTTTTTGGATGTCATACATATATTAGAGTGTTAGAGGTATATTTATGATGTATTACTTTTATTCATTTCTTTTTTTCCTTAAACAGAGTGCAATAGAGTCTCTTTTTGGAGCGTCATTAACTGGGATTGCCTATTCATTGTTTGCTGGGCAACCTTTAACAATATTGGGGAGCACAGGTCCTGTTTTAGTGTTTGAAAAAATTTTATTTAAATTCTGCAGGTAAGAGTTCTGTCCTTCTCACATGCGTTTGCATATATACACAATTCTGTGTTACGTTGTTGATCAACTCAATTAAATGTACATTATATATTTAATAGCTTAAAAAAGATGTGATAAATGTGTATATTTTCAGTATTTTTGGCCTACTTTGTTGTTGATCCTACCCTGGCCTCTACCAGTATCCCTTCCCCCATAAATTAAAAATAAAATTGTCTTTGAGTATAACAATTGATGGATTCGAATACTGACAAGCCAATTACTTGAGGAGCAATAAAAATTCTTTGTGCTAGCAACTTTTAATCAGTAAGCAATTTTTAATCTAAATTGTTTGTTAGGTGATATGTTGATCTTACACTGTACTATTAGAAAGAAAGAGAGATGGGTCTCGAGGTTCCTAGGCTGACTTTACCATTCACTTCTGCTTAACAGAGAGGGGATTGAGGCACAGAGTACAGGGTCAGTTTCCACCGACAAGGCTGTTCATAGTGTGGAGAAGAATCTAGGATACTGTAGCTAATAGACCCTGAATTTGACTTCTCTAATATTGATCTTTTTGTGTTATAAATGCAGTTGAATATTTTAGTCTGAAACAGCTTGGTGGTATTAAATATGTGAGTTATCCAACACTCTAGTTTCAATTCTCTTCTCACTAAACAACCTGATTCTACCTTTATGTTACATAGACTAGAATAGAAAGGATGAAATGACCTGAAGTATAGGCACTGGTAGTAATTTCTTATTTGAATGTGCAATATGAAATCGCTTTGCTTGGTAGAGATGGTGGGAGAGGAAGTGGCAGTGGTGATGGCGGTGATGTTGAGTTGTATGTGGTTTCTGGACCTCAGGGGGAGCCAGATCCAACTGTTCTCTCCTTGTGGACTATGTGTCTGTCACTCTTGGTAACCACTTTCTAAAGTGAGGTCTAATGATTTTGAAGTATTTGTTGCCCTGGTAGACTATTACTGTAAATTTTTATAGAAGTATAATTAATTAGCAGGTAGTCTTCAGTTGAGATGTAAAAACAAGTAGAGCTTTTTCTAGTCATTATTATTATATAATTTACTCTCTGTTAGGAATCACAAGTCTTTATATACTATTATTGCTTGCTACATAAATTTTCATGTACAGATACCATTCCACATATGTATGCTGATCTTGTCTACTTTTTTTATTTCTAAACAGAGATTATCACCTTTCCTATCTGTCTTTAAGAACCAGTATTGGTCTTTGGACTTCTTTCTTGTGCATTGTTTTGGTTGCAACAGATGCAAGCAGCCTTGTGTGTTATATTACTCGTTTTACAGAGGAGGCTTTTGCAGCTCTCATTTGTATCATATTCATCTACGAAGCTTTGGAGAAACTCTTTCATTTAGGGGAAATATATGCATTCAATATGCACAACAACTTAGATAAACTGACCAGCTACTCGTAAGTATTTCTGTTCCACCCTAATACTAAAATGTATTTTTGCAGAAATATCAAGCGTCCAAAAAAATGGCAGTTTTTGCAGTGTGTTGCTCACTGTGTCCAGCTAGTTACAACAGCTCAGTTAGCCACATGGTGATTGATGGGGTTTGTTTCAGATTAGATTTTTGCCAAAAGCAGCCATTAGGCATAAATATACTTGATCCAGTTATAGCATTTTTGTTCAATAAAACAGCTTTTTCAAGTGTGTGTTGTTTGGCTTTCTGATTGAATTGGATTGACCGGTTTGGGGGAATACATCCTTATTTATATTTTTTATCTGTATATATAAACACACACCTCACCTTCTTTTACTGGAAGTTACCTGTTCAGTAGTATATGCTATTTATTGGAGTATTTTCTTGGTGATAAGAAAAGCATGAAATGGAAATATGTTTAAACTCTGGAATAAAAAGTGATGTATAGCAGTTATAAAAGGTTGGCACATGCATTCAGTGAAAAGTAAAATTGGCTGTTAGAGTTAGTCATGCTGAAGAAGTTGCCTGTACTTGCAATCTGCTTGATGTAAATATGATACTCTCTGATGGACTTCAGGGTAGAAATGTGATTACCAAAAGAAGAGGATGCAGTTTGTCTCCTGTATACTCAACCCCAAATCCTGTACAATCCTCCTTCCTTCCGTGCCCTTTCACTTTCCTTCTTTCCCTGCTACTTTCCCTAGCTTTCCTGTATTCCCTCATCTTTGATGGGCAGAGTAAGGAGGGATATGAAAATTCCTCTAAGACACTGATTTATTTGAAAATGTTAGTGATACTTTTAACACGTTGATACAAAATGTATTACTGCTGTTTTTTGCTGTGTTTTCTTTTGATGAGCCCAGTTACTACAAATGAAGAACATTCATTCATCTAACATTCTGTGAGCACCAGCAGGGACCATGTTAGAAATTGTTCTTAAGTCATACCATAGTGTTACTTAATTGATAACATTAAAGCCCGTTTTGTGTGTGATGGAACTGTGGCTCCTGGAGGTTAAGACTGGCCTTAAGTAAACAGCTAGAAAATGGTAGAGCCTGGATGGCCTTCAAAGACCTCCTTCTTTCCTTTTCTCTGACATTTTATAATATAATTGGAAATATTCTTTTTTTTATTTTCATTTTTTATTATATGAACAAATATTTCTCTTTTTTTAAACCCTGACTTTTTTTTAAGATTTATTTATTTACTTGAAAGAGTTACACAGAGAGAGAAGGAGAGGCAGAGAGAGAGAGAGCAAAATCTTCCATCCATTGGTTCACTCCCCAATTGGCCGCAACAGCTGCAGCGGCACCCATCCGAAGCCAGGAACCAGGAGCATTTTCTGGGTCTTCCACGTGGGTGCAGGGTCCCAAGCACTTGGGCTGTCCTCCACTGCTTTCCCAGGCCATAGCAGAGAGCTGGATCAGAAGTGGAGCTGCCGGGTCTCAAACTGGCACCCATATGGGATTCCAGCACTGCAGGTGGCGGCTTCACCTGCTATGCCACAGCACCGGCCCCTTATTTTCATTTTTAAAAACCACATTTAGAAGTTTCTTTGCTTATGAGTATTTCTAGTTTTTGAAATAGTTCTGGATATGAAGTGAACTCTGATCGTATGACTCCTCTATTCCTGTCTTGGTGAACAGTTGTTTCATTCACATAACAATGAATATTAAGACTAATGAAGAGTAAGTGGGAGTAGGTAGGGCTTGTAACACTACAAAGAATGGGGCCAGCATTGTGGTGTAATGGGTTAAGCCACCACATAAGACACTGGCATTTCATATCGGCACCAGTTGGAGACCTGGCTCTTCTTCTGATCCAACTCCCTGCTAATGTGCCTGGGAAAGCAGTGGAAGATGGCCTAAGTGCTTGGGCCCCTGCACCCATGTAGGAGACCTGGATGAATCTCCTGACTCCTGGCTTCAGTCTGGCCCCGCCCGAACTGTTGAAGCCAGTTGGGAAGTGAACCAGTGGATGGAAGAACTCTTTCTTTCTCTGTCTCTAACTCTTTCAAATAAATAAAATAAATCTTTAAATATCAAGAGTACACAGAATGAATAATAGTGTGACTGTTAGGAATCTATACATGTTGCAGGGTGTGAGGAGGCAGCCATAACTATGGTGATTGAGGCGATACAGTTTAGTGCAGAGTAGTCTTACTAAACATGGTGTCATCTTTGAAGAAAACAATGCGTCATCTCCTTCACCCCCAGGGATACATTTAAACATTTTATTGATATTCACATTACTTATATTTTATTTATATAACCCAAACCTGATTCTGTTCTGTTGTTTCTGATGTATTTTCACTTTCTTGTCTCCATGTCTTGCAACAAGGAAAAAGTTAAAAGCTACCACATTGTGTAATTGATTTACTAAAATATAAACATGCAATGCAGAATTCTTAAATATTTATCCTACTCTAATTTCACAGATGTGTATGTATTGAACCTCCTAACCCTAGCAATGAAACTCTAGAGTTGTGGAAGAAAGAGAATATAACAGCACACAATATTTCCTGGGGAAATCTTACTGTTCCTGTGAGTATGATAAAATAATGGATTTTACAAAAAATGTATTAATCAAGTTCTTTAGCTTTGCTGGTACCTTCATTTTCATTTTGATGAATAATGTATAGTATGCTTTCAATATATAGTGTGTGATTTTTACCAGTTAGTAGTAACCATTTTTCTGTGAGTCCTGCACTACAAAGTATAGGCTGTAAAAAATGAAGCTGGTAGGCAGGATGAAGGTGTCTTATACTTGACTTCTGAGGTAGAATTGTTAAAAAGCTGTGAGCAGCTGGTTTCTAACTCCACTCAGATTGATAAATTTAAAGAAGTGCTTACTAGGTTTGTGGCTGCTTGCACTGGAATTTACAGTGACAGCTGCCTGTTCCATTTGTCCTGTCTTCTTGAACACTGCATTGAGAGTGCTGCCCTGAGTGTCTAGAAAACCATGCCTAACTCATAGAAACTGGTCTCAATCAAGGCCTGAGAGTTGGGAGAAAGGAAGGAGGAGAGAACCATGTAATGACTACCTGCTGTGTACTGTATACTATTACCTGTGGTTGGTTGGATTCTGCTGGGAAGTGTTCTAGTCCTAAAATATCCGTATTAGATACTTCCAAGGTTGGGACTTAGGGATAAAGATGTAAAGTGATAACAACAATCCCCATTAAAATCAAGATCCCTTGAGCTCTGGTGCTTTTTATATCATAAAGGCAACTGTAGGCATTGCTGTTTCATTAAAGGTGATAGCCCCTAACTGTATAATTGGGATATCATCTGAAATTTTATTCCTTTGATAGTTAAGCCTGTGCTATTCAGTATAGTAGCCAATAGCCACATGTCTATTTAAGGTGAAGTGAATTAAAATCAGCAAGAAGTTCAGTTTCTCAGTTGACTAGCCATATTTCAGGGGTTCTGGCTGCTGTATTGGACAGTGTGGATACATAGCGTCTCTATCATAGAAAGCTACATTGGATAGTACTAATTTAAAGCAGTAAAAGGCATCAACTTAGTCTCTTGCTTTACTATTTTCTATTTAGAAAGTCATTTTGTTATGGAAGAGGAGTATTTAATCAGGATATTCAGATAAAAATGACTTTGTTAAAAAGAATTCATTTCATGTGGAATAGGATGTCTTGATATTACAGCTTGTGGTGTGTTATAGATATCCAGCAGGGTTATGTTAGACGTTTGGTTTGGTTTTGTTGTTTTGTCTTTGGTAATTTGAACTTTTATTTCCATGATTCGTTGAATGGATTAGATGTATTAATCTCAGCAAATGAAACTTGAAAATAGTGGACCTTTAAACATTTATTTTTTGGTAAACCTGAATTAGTTTTGTCAAATTGAGCTCCATTAGAATGTAAGTAAGAATAAGGATTTTGATGGCATGTGCCTTTATCAATTTTTGGTTGCCTTTTCATTATTTTTTTCTCCAAAAGGGCAGTCAGACTAAACTGTTTCAGTAATTGAAGGATGCTATGCTATATCCATATGTTAGATATGTTACATTATTGATTTTGTTGATTGGGGTATTACTGTAAATTTTATTTACTTTTCAATTGATGGTTCATGGACCAATAATTTCAATCCCAAGGTGTGGATTCCAGTTCAGAAAAGGTAATCATAGTCCTTATTAGTAATTTAAGTCTAGTCATCTTTCAGCATCAAAAGGATTTAGTAGTAATTTTCAGTCTGCTGCTTTTTTTTATTTTTTTTATTTTATTATTTTTTGACAGGCAGAGTGGACAGTGAGAGAGAGAGACAGAGAGAAAGGTCTTCCTTTGCTGTTGGTTTACCCTCCAGTGGCCACCGCGGCCGGCGCGCTGCGGCTGGCGCACCGCACTGATCCGATGGCAGGAGCCAGGTACTTATCCTGGTCTCCCTTGGGGTGTAGGGCCCAAGTACTTGGGCCATCCTCCACTGTACTCCCTGGCCACAGCAGAGAGCTGGCTTGGAAGAGGGGCAACCAGGACAGAATCTGGCGCCCCGACCGGGACTAGAACCCGGTGTGCCGGCGCCGCAAGGAGGAGAATTAGCCTAGTGAGCCGCGGCGCCAGCCCTGCTGCTTTTGTTTTAAACTACTTCTTTTTTTATTTAAAGATTTATTTATTTATTTGAAAGTCAGAGTTAAACAGAGAGAGAAGGAGAGGCAGAGCCAGAGAGAGGTCTTCCATCTGCTGGTTCACTCCCCAATTGACTGCAATGGCCAGAGCTGGGCCAATCTGAAGCCAGGAGCCAGGAGCTTCTTCCAGGTCTCCCCATGCAGGTGCAGGGGCCCAAGGACTTGGGCCATCTTCTACTGCTTTCCCAGGCCATAGCAGAGAGCTGGATTGGAAGTGGAGCTTCCAGGTCTCAAACCAGTGTCCATATGGGAAGCTGGCACTGCAGGCGGTGGCTTTATCTACTAGGCCACAGCACCGTCCCCAAACTACTTCTTTAGAAAAAAGAAAAGATGGCAAAATTGTGGGCCAGCAAGAACACAGAGAAAACGTTTCACAAATAATATTCAGTGAGAGCCTTCATTAATGGGAATGTGTAATTGAAAGAAAGAAGTATATGAAATAACTTGACAAAATACTGTGTTTTGGTGATTTAAGTTACCTAGTAAATGAAAAGCACTATCTCTAAACTCAGTGTGAGTTTTGCAATTAATTGTTCATGTGTTAACAGTTGACTTGACACTGTCTTTTCTAAGTGAAACATAATTCTGTGTCTTAAAATTAGTTACATTTTAAAGCCAATGAAGTGCCCTATGAATTTATTGGTTATTTGAGAAAGCTTTCCCTCTTCTTTCTTTTCTCTAGGAGTGCAAAACCTTCCATGGTATCTTTGTAGGCTCAGCTTGTGGTCTTCATGGACCTTATATTCCTGATGTGCTCTTCTGGTGTGTCATCTTATTTTTCACAACATTTTTCCTGTCTTCATTCCTCAAGCAATTTAAGACCAAGCGATATTTTCCTACCAAGGTAACAGGAAATCTGGTGAAATGTTTTTGTTTTTCATTTCCTTGGCTTATTTCTGGGAATAAATTTGAAGCTACTACTTTATGCCACATAGTTATAAAGAAATTATTCATACTGAAAAATGTGTTTTACATATCTGAGCCCACAATAGAAAGGTAGCAGTTCCATGAGAAATGGGTGGGTTAATTGTGAAACATGTTTCTTATCTTTTGGGAAAGAATTACATACAAATATATTTCAGTGATAACATGTCGTACTGTCCAGTGATGTATTTTATCTGAAAAAAGATATGAATTACTTAGAAAGTACACATGATGTCTCTATGTTTATATTAACCTAATCCCTTTAACATAGGTGCGATCGACAATCAGTGACTTTGCTGTGTTTCTCACAATAGTAATAATGGTTGCAATTGACTACCTTGTAGGAGTTCCATCTCCTAAGCTTCATGTTCCTGAAAAATTTGAGGTAAGGATTATAACAAGCAGCCATTGTTTGGAAATAACAAACTAGTGTAAAGTGAGGTACTGCCTCCTAAATAGTTATTTAAAAAATATGTGTAATTCTTCAAATAACTCTTTGAAAGGAAAAATTATGTACAAACTTTTCACATATAAAATATAATACCATAAAAAGAGATGAGTATAAAAGCTGATCCATTGGAGAGAGAATATTTTCCATGGTGAGGAGTTGGGAGCCATTTTAAAAATGCAGCTCTGTTCTTCTAGCTGAAATTCTTGATGTGCATTGAGAAAGAGAAGAAATCCTGTATTTCTTTAAAAAAAGTTTACTTAAGCTAGAATTTATAGAAGTGGCAGAGAGACCTTAGGTAAATTTCTGATCTCTTTTAAACCATCCACTTCTAAAAGACACATAGTTTACTAAATGCACATATAATCAGTGACATGGCTCAAAAGGTGTTTTTTTTTTTTTTTTTAAAGATTTATCCATTTATTTGAAAGAGTTACATAGAGGAGAGGCAGAGAGAGAGGTCTTCCATCTGCTGGTTCACTCCCTAATTGGCCGCAATGGCCGGAGCTGCGCTGATCCACAGCCAGGAGCCAAGAGCTTCCTCTGGGTCTCCTATGCGGGTGCAGGGGCCCAAGGACTTCGGCCATCCTCCACTGCTTTCCCAGGCCATAGCTGAGAGCTGGATTGGAAGTGGAGCAGCCAAGTCTTGAACCGGTGCCCATATGTGATGCTGGCGCTTCAGGCCAGGACGTTAACCCGCTGTGCCACTGCACTGGCCCCAAGGTGTTTTCCCTTTTACCATACAAGCACAAGCAGAAGAGGAGGAATGAAAAGAATGACTATATGAAAATGTATATAAATTTAGAACAAAAGAAGAGAATTCAAATGAATGCTTTGATTAAATATCATTTTTCTTGCAGAATGCATCAGATTTCTGCTGGGAAGGGCTAAAGGGACCTTTCCAATCATTTACTGTCAGAAACACTGCCCTTCCAGAAATTTAACTAGAAGGAAAGAGTGCCTAAGTCACAGGGCATGGGGCATACCAGTAGGAATGGGAGGAATTCCTATGGCTGTCTTTGCAGATAATTCACTATACATCCCCAGGTTTAATGCAGTGCTTTCCTACTCCTTGCCATTTCTTGGTATAGCCTCAGTCGATGTTGTGGAAGTTGAGTGTAATAGAAGAAGGAAACTTTTCTCTTTATTATTGTTAATTTTTTTAACAGCCTACTGATCCAAATAGGGGGTGGATCATAAGCCCGTTGGGAGACAATCCTTGGTGGACCTTACTTATAGCTGCTATTCCAGCTCTGCTTTGCACTATTCTCATCTTTATGGATCAACAAATCACAGCTGTAATCATAAACAGAAAGGAGCACAAACTGAAGGTAACTTAAATTTTGCCTCAAGAATTATCAGGAGTTCGATATATGTTAATAATTATTAGAATATTACAAGGTGGAAGATGAAAATCAGTTTCTTCCTTCTTTTTATAAATCATTTAGAATTCTATCCTGAGATACCAATTCATACATAAAATAATCGTGTTCATTTCACTTTTCAGAAAGGAGCTGGCTACCACCTTGATTTGCTCATGGTTGGTGTTATGTTGGGAGTTTGCTCTGTCATGGGCCTGCCATGGTTTGTGGCTGCAACAGTGTTGTCAATAAGTCATGTCAACAGCTTAAAAGTTGAATCTGAATGTTCTGCTCCCGGGGAACAACCCAAGTTTTTGGGAATTCGTGAACAGCGGGTTACAGGGCTAATGATTTTCATTCTAATGGGCCTCTCTGTGTTTATGACTTCAGTTCTAAAGGTAAAAATCTCTTTCTTGAAGTATTTTTAAATTTTACTTGTCAGAACATTTTTATTGGTTGTGTGAAAATGAACCATTAAAATTTCCTTAAAATATTACTTAAAATTATTTTTGCTTCATTCAGTTGACTTGGAAAATAATGTTTGGTAAGGCTTTTACTATAGAAAGCATTTCAGTTGTAGTTTATCCATTTTAACAATAATATAAAAGGGTAGTATTAAAGACTAAATAGTTTTGGAAGGAGATAATTACTGGCTTGGTTAAGGGAGAATATATCCAGGAGCTTTTATAAGCATATAAGAGGAACTGACGTTGAAAGATGGATAGAACTCTGTTATTTGACCAAACTGAAAATATTATAATTAATGAATTTAATGTGTTTTTACTGATACACTAAATGAAAAAAGAGTGATAAACACTTATCAGAAAAGCAAAAATAGCTAGTGTTAATTAATCTAATGATTTTTCTATAAAATAACAAGTATAGCTAGATATTTAATCTGAAATTTTCTGTTTGTCATGTAAGAGTTCAACCTTGTTTTTCATCATGGTATTTTAGTTAGTTTTGTTGTAAAGAAAATTAAGCAAAGAATCTTTTTTGTGTGTGTGTGTGTGTGTTGGCATAATTATTTTTTTTAACTTTTATTTAATGAATATAAATTTCCAAAGTACAGCTTATGGATTACAATGGCTTCCCCCCATAACGTCCCTCCCACCCGCAACCCTCCCCTCTCCCACTCCCTCTCCCCTTCCATTCACATCAAGATTCATTTTCGATTCTCTTTATATACAGAAGATCAGTTTAGCATACAATAAGTAAAGATTTCAACAGTTTGCTCCCACACAGAAACATAAAGTGAAAAATAATAGATGATTTTTTAAATGATGATGAAATCAGATCAGACCTATTGTCATGTTAAGCAAAGAATCTTAGAATATAAACTTGAGAGGTGCAGTTTTTGTATATATCTGAAGTAACTTAAAAAAAAAAAAAAGTCATAGTTAAGTGTTGAAATTCCTTGGCCTCCTTTCATAATTCACCAGGCTCTTCTCTTTTTTTTTTTTTTTTTTTTTTGAGTATTTGTTGTGCTGTTAGACATTGGGAAAACAATACTAGATAGAATATGTTCTTGTCTACGGTTAATAACTGGACAGTCTGATAAACAGGGAAATGGGCAGTTATATAGCATGAGCGCTTCAGAAGTGCACGGGGACAAGAGGAGAAATATTTAGTGCAGTCTTACAAGGATGCAGTTACCCATTTATGAAGGTTGCCCTTTACATCCTAATTTTTGAAAATATAATTTATTTTTTATTTATTTGAAAGGCAGATAGAGACAGAGGGAAAGCTTCCACCCACTGGTTCCCTGCCCTGAGTGCTTACAGTTTGGGCTGGGCCTGGCTGAAGCCAGGAACTAGGAATTCATGCAGGTGTTCCACATAGTTGGCAAAGACCCAAGTACTTAAGCCATTCCCTTTCACCTCCCAGAGTCTACATGAGCAGGAAGCTGGACTAGGAAATGGGGCTGGCTGTGCAGCCTGGGCATCTGATGTGGGATGTGGGCATCCAAAGTGGCATCATAACTGCCTCGCCAAATGCCTACCCCAGCCTCTTAGAGTTTTAAAGTACTTTCTAAAACTTTTACGTATTATCTTCAGGCAAGCAGGAAATTTTAACAAAGTGGAATATAGAGAAAGCTCTGCCATGGAAAGTGACTCTTCTGTTTTCTTTGACTTTCCTCCAAAGGCAAACACTTTTTAACTTTGTTTTTAGTTTTTCCAGCTTATTTATTTGGTTTAGACCAAATCTCTTTACCTAAAACCGTGCTTCTCAAAGTCCAGTCCAGGGACACCTGGGTGTCCCTGCATCTTGTTGGCAGTCTACCAGCTCCTTTCCCTTCCAAGTACTGCACCACGTGTGAGGCAGGGTCGTCGTTCCCCCCACGCCCCCGCCCCGCCCCACATATACTTCATTCAAAGCAGCATACTGTATAAGTGGGATGCAGATACAGGTAATGAGAATTCAGTGGTTCTCTGTTAAGCTCCACTGAAGAATTGTACAAAAGTGTTTATCAGTGCTTTTTTTTCACTTTGGATTTTGTTTAGAAGTTCTCACAAAACTATGTTGCTTAATTTGTTAGGCGTTCATCATTATTTTAAAATTAATTTTAAAATATCTTTAAATTTTATATTAAATTTTTGAAAGCCTCTGAGCTAGGGCACATCTTTCGTGATGAGCTCAGCGTGCTGATAGGTGCCTAACGCCCACTGTCCCTTCCGTGTGTGTGTGTTGGTGTACACTTTTAGTTTTATAATTGCAAAGGTTGCTAACATTTACATTCTGCACTTTACTTAAAATTAAGCCTGCATGCTTTCTCTGTGAGTTAAATTGTACTCATACAAATGTGATTTCTTTGGAAACACATGAGCAGTATTATGGCGATAAAAACATTTGCTGGGGGCAGAGCACTGGGACCACTCAGTGCAGAGGCAGGAATAGATGGCCTTCACTAAAAAACTGCTGCCCAAGCCTAAATTCTCTGTACGTTTTCTTTGTATCTATTCTCTCACTTTAAAAAAATGGTATGTGTGGGTTCCCTTTTTCCTTTTTGTATTCCTCAAGGACTTGATACATGCTACCATCGGTTCTAAACTTACTCAGAGTTCTTAGTGCTTCAGAATGCCTTTGTTTACTCTAACATTTCATCCATGGTTGGATATACATTTCAGGTTCAAAATAATTTTCCTTTGGGCCTTAAAGTCAGTGTTGCCTAGACAGGAGGGGGGCGGGGTGGAGAGAAGACCTTTAGAAGCCTGTGAAATTCCTTTTCACTCCTGAGATTCTGGACTTCAGGGGGCTGGGTAGGCAGATTGATAGGTGGAAGGGCTACTGGGTAGATAGAGGGTTTTCATTTACCCTGCTTGTCTCTCTGGGTCATTTTACTCCTGAAACTTTTCTTCTGCTGTGGTGATTTTCGTTGACCATTTTTCTATTCCCTCAGTTAGAAATGTCTTCAACTCTGAAGATCTCAGACCGTCTGGATTTGTTCTTATCTTCTCTCCCCTTCACTGTTAAAGAAAATTACCTCAGTTTTGCACATCTTTACATGGATCTTTAGTCTTATCCAAGCTATTGTTATAAAATTCTTTTAGCTGTATTGATTATTTTATCTTTAGTTTCCAGGAGCTTTTCTGATTATTCCTTTTCCTTATGATTCTGAAGTTGCTTTTTGGGTTAAAAAAAAAAAAAACTGAGGATTTGGTGAGATTTTTGAAACTAGGCTCTCTTGCTGAGTTTTTATTTTTTTCTTTTCTTCCAAGTTCCTTGGAAGAGACATACTAGGCTGGCTGGTAGAGGTGTAGTGGCTGTGGTTTTCCTCTGTGGTTGTCGAGTCCTCTTTCCTTGGGGACTTTTGGCCTGATGGTGGCTCTGAGTAAGTGGACAGGGTCTATGAAGAGCCAAGCTTTCTTGTAGGAATGCTGGGTGTGTGCCAGGTGGGCATTTAGGGATACCCTGCCAAGTGAAAGGGACTTGAATTTGGAGGTGCATTTCAGTTACTACAGTTGTTAGATGCCACTATATTCCTGGATACTGCATGTGTGATTCATATATATCAGGTATTTTTGTGAATGTTTGTGTATTTGAAGTCTCTTAATCTTTATGGTGATCTGATGTAGAAACTGAGTACAGAAAGGTTGTTTCAATTAAAAAATTAAATGGATTTTTAAACCCAAGTACTTTGGTAGTGCCCTTGCTCTCCACCACCAAACATAATCCTTTTTTAGGAAGGAAAATGTAGAAGAGAAATTTTCCAAGGAGGTCATTGTTTATGATGGTGTTTCTTCTGTATAGAAATGTTAGGCTGATCTAATCCTCATCCCTAAAGGATCATTCCCATTTGGTACCCATAGTTACTTATTGGTTACGGTTTGTGTATACATTGACATGAAATGGTTTTAGTAGCATACATTCTGATTGTGGCCATTTTACTTGCAGTTTATCCCAATGCCTGTTCTGTATGGTGTTTTCCTTTACATGGGTGTTTCTTCACTAAAAGGAATCCAGGCAAGTCTTAAATATTTCGTGTTTTTATAGGACAACTTAAATGTTTAAACTTTATAAAGATTGTTTTTATGATGGTTGTGACATCTTCTTAGCTGTTTGGGAGCAGATTATTTTTCGAAGCGGTAACTTCAAGTACATGCTTGCCAATTGTCTGTTGCTTATTGCACATTTTCCCCCCAGAGAATGAGATCATGGCCTGACAGGGCCCTAACCTATTTGTAATTAAAGCCAGTGAAAGGCCCTGTAGCTCTCAATAAAGACTAGTGTTGCAAGAAGGAGGATCAAAAGAATTGGAATGGGAAAAAAGTGCTGTTTCTCACATATAGAATAGTAATTTCAGGTCACAGAAGGAATAGTTTCCTATAAAAATGGTTGTACCTGCCATTATATGGCCTAATACAATTTAGAAGGCCCTAGACCATAAATTGTTTTCTGTGATCCTCAGAACAATGGTTGGGAAAAGAGTAAAAGAAAAGAAAAAAATCCTAATTTTGTAAATCATGAAAAAGAAAGAGGAAATTATTAATATTTACTGGAACCAAGGCCAGAATCCAGTAGTTTCACTACTCTGTTTTTTTCCTATTTATGAAAAAAACTGATGGCATGTATTAAGATTCGTCCTAACCAAGTTTTAGTATAAAACATTTCGATCAGTGCAGGTAGCACCCCATGGCCACCTCTTCTCGTGGGAAGCATGTTATCTAGAGTTGCCAGCAAGTGGGCTGGTGGCTGGCAGGAGTCCTCTAAGACAGCATCATTATGGTTTCAATCTATTCTCTCCGTGGTTAAGAAATCTCAGTATCTCATAACTTTTTATACAAAGTTCTGTGAGGTGGATAAGGCAGATGTTATTCTCAATTTATAACTGAGGAAATTAAAGCTCAAAAAAAGACCAAGTATAATTAACTCATAGTTTCATTTTCAATGAGCGAGGAACTGGTAATTTTTACCAGAAGTTATATTCATAGAATTAGTGGTGTTAAGCTTAGAAAGAACCTTAGGGGTAATGTACACATCAGAAAGCAAATTCATGTGATGAAATTATTTGTATATTTGATTATAGCAGATAAATTCATCTTAATTATTTTAATCCCCCAAATTAAAAGTCTCTCTTGAGTTTTCTGATGAAGTTAACTGCTGTAGTAAGCTGGTTGTTGCAGTTGCTTTGTCTCTCCCCGCCCCATATACAGAGAATCTTAGCTGAACCATTCTCCTACGCTAACAGAACATACCAAGGAAGTTCAAGTTTAAATCTAATACATACAACTCTAAGGTTTTGCATAATTTCTGATCCTAAATAACAGAGACCATATGTTTTTGAAAACTTTTCTCTTTGCTTTTCCCTCCTACGCGTAGTTTTTTGACCGCATAAAGCTGTTTGGAATGCCCGCTAAGCACCAGCCTGACCTAATCTACCTCCGGTACGTGCCTCTCTGGAAGGTGCATATCTTCACTGTCGTGCAGCTCACCTGTCTGATTCTCTTGTGGGTGATAAAAGCTTCAGCTGCTGCAGTAGTTTTCCCTATGATGGTAAGTTTTTGTTTTTTTCAGGTTTACTTTTCACTGATTAATAACATTTTTTGCAATTCTTTCATTAAATTTTTAACTTTCTTTAAGAAAAGAAATAGCTCATTTTAACCCATTATGTCCCATTATCCTATATAGAGCATACTTATAAAGACAAATTAGGCAAGAAATATTCTGTTTACAGTAACTTTGAGACAAGAATTAATGACATAAATTAATGACAGTATTTGCAGAATTGAAAACCTGGGACTGACTTGGTTAAGCATCTTACATGGTTGAAAATGTGGATTAGTTTCTAGCTATAAACATAAACCAGTTATTTTTCAGTCTGAGTTTTCTTTGAATTTTCTTAATTTCATTTGTTTTGTTTTTTCATCCTTGGGCTAGAAAACTCTATTTTGTATTCTTAAACAACTTCAGAATTTGGGACATTTATGAAATAAATATCATAGTAAAACTCAAAACAGAGTTTTTTTAATTTTTAAAATTTTTTTAATATTTATTTACTTATTTGGAAGGCAGAGTTAGAGAGGGAGATCTTTCATCCAATGGTTTACTCCTCAAATGGCCTCAGTGTCCAGGGCTAGGCCAGGCTGAAGTCAGGACCCTCCAGCTCCATCATCTGGGTCTCCCACATGCGTTTCAGGAGCACAAGTACTTGGGCCATCTTCTGCTGCCTTCCCAAGCCTGTTAGCAGGGAGCTGGATTGGAAATGGAGCAGCCAGGACTCAAACTGGTGCTCCTATGGGATGCCAGCATCGCAGGTGGTGGCTTAACCTGCTATGCCACAATGCCATTGCCAACAATGTGGTTCTCTAATAGGAAATCTCAATATATATTTTTCACAAATTGACCAGTCTTCATTTAATAAGTTATAAAGACTATGAGTGACTTTAATAAGACAATTAATTCATTAGATCATCATCAAATATTATATGCTTACAAGGAGAGACCGTTCATTTCTTTGTAAATATAACATGAAAATTGGTTATGTACATGACCACAAAGAAAACCTTAAAAATTATTCAGGTAGTAATCGACAATCACAGTTAGATTACTAATAAAAACAGAAAGTCACTAAAATGATCTTAATTATTTGAAATTGAACACTGTTCCAAATAATTCCAAGATAGAAAATGTAGTTACAAAACCATATAGAGGTATTAGAGAACTTATAGCAATGTCTATCTAAACCTTTGAACACAGCTAAAATTATAGTTAGGAAGCTGTGTGCTTTTCATTGCCTGTATTATTCAGGGGAACTTAAAATGTAACCAAGTTTTTTAATTTGTAAAGATCAATAATGGATAAAACCCTCCCAAGCTGAGTAGAGAAGAAAAGTGAGACAATGTAATACACAAGGTGGGGAAGGAGAAAAGAGAGAAGACTAGAGATATGAAGGACATCCAAGAGGTTTTAAGAAAATACTGCATGCATCTGTAGTAATAAATGCAAAAACATCTACAGCAGGGAATAGCAAAGTTTCCTGTAAAGAGCCCAGTAGTAATTTTAGGCTTTGTAGGCCATAGGTACTTACATAATGAGAGAGAAATTAAGCAAATGTGCACAGTTTCTTACTGAAATAAAAAATGTAATTGTACAAGGGCTTTTTTGGTTCATTTGGGATAGCATTTCTTTTAATTGGTTCTCAGTCTGTACTGATTATCTGTCTGATTAATTCCAAACATTCATGTATAAAAAGCATTCTTAGCTCAAAGGCTAAGAACAAGTAGCAGACCAGATGTGACCCAGCAGCTGTGGTTTGTTAGCCTGGATCTTGAGGGAAGGAATCATCTCCATTTTATACAAGCCTATGAATTTCCAAAATACACAGAGGTAAAAACTTGTGTATGGCCCAGTTGCATAGACGAGACTGAAAAAATGGTTAAAGATCTGCTCTTAAAGACCAGCCTCAGATTGGTTAACAGCTTAATTTAAAGAATAGATAATTGGGGCTAGCGCTATGGCATAGCAGCTAAAGCCGCCACATGCAGTGCCAGCATCCCATATGGGTGCCAGTTCAAGTCTCGGCTGCTCCACATCCCATCCAGCTCTCTGCTATGGCCTGGGAAAGCAGTGGAAGATGGCTCAAGTCCTTGGGCCCCTGCACCTGTGTTGGAGACCCGGAAGAAGCTCCTGGCTTCAGGCTTCGGATGAGCTGTTGCAGCCAACTGAGGAGTGAACCAGCAAATGAAAGATTCCCCGCCTCCCTCCCTACCCCCCGCCTCTCCTTCTCTTTGTGTAACTCTTTCAAATAAATAAATAAATCTTATATAAAAAAAAGAATAGACAGTTGCAGTAATGGAAACTTAAATCTAATGAAGTTATACAAAAGAACTATGATGCCTTCTTATTAATATAAATATATTAAAATATTAGCAAATTTAGCAATATTTCTTAGACTAATATGTCATGATTGAATAGACAATGGTACTTCGGTATCAAAAGAATGGTGAACATATGTGTTGAAAATATGGTTGCAACTGTTTAACCAAAGTGACTTCAATTAAACCAAAATCAAAGACTAAAAACCTTGATAGAATTAGTAAAAATTCTGGTAGAGAGGTTAAATACTAGGAAGCATGGTAATTAGCAGATTGTCTGTAGCTCAGTTATAATGCTAGAAAAAGGAAAAAAGCTTCCGTGAGAGCAACCAAAACCCGTGAAGTACTTGATTAAGTTAAAATAAAGCTTTAAAATGACAAATTAAAAGAAAGGCTTTGTGACAGTTTTTGTGTTTGTTTCCTAAGACTGCTGTAACCAAGTATCATGAACTGGTTGACTTTAAACAATAGAAAATCACCATCTTGAATTTCTGGAGGCTAGAAGTCTGACATGGTGTGGGCAAAGCCATCCTCCTTAAAACCATGGGACAACCTCCCCTTACTTCTTCCTAGCTTCTGATTTACTGGCCATCTTTGGCAATCCTTTGATTGCACCTGCATAACTAACTCCAGTCTGCCTTCATTGCCACATGATGTGTGTCTGTATCGTCACATGGCAAGGCTATTTAATAGCACCAGTCACATTTTATTGGGCACTCACTCTACCCTAGGATGACTTTATCTTAATTAATTACATTTGTAACAACTATGTGTACAAATACGATCATGTACTGAGGTATGGGGGTTAGGTCTTCAGCTTTAATGGAGAACAGAGTATAACCATAATGACATTAAAAGTCATAAGACCTGAACAAATGTATGCTGTGTAGCAGTAAGAAACACACTCATCCTCTGTAACAGTTAAAGAAAAGCAAAGTAATCACTGTCTTCCATGTAATTAAAAGGTAAAACTGAATGCTACAAGTAGATCTTGTAATGTATTGCTTAGAGATTTTTAAACATATACTTTTGTATCTGGCTGGCACGAGATAACATGTATCTAATTTGAAGTCATAAAAATTATTGTTTTTTTTTTTTACTTTGATGATAATTATCATGCTTAACTTGCTTCATAATTCATACAGAATTCCCAGGAATTTATTGAGGAGAAGGTTAATAATGCCATTTCCTGTTTTCTGTTTTCATACCTTTTTTCAAATTTTTTTAGCAGACAGTTCAAAAAGGTAAAATAGGCAATCTGGTAGCTTTGAAATATTATGGAGTATGAAGTAATTAAAAAAGAACACATGAGATGTTTTCATTATTTATAATGCTTTTATAAATAATTTTTATCTTCTCTAAGTGATATAGCTTATATTGTGTTACTTAATATTTCCTTCTTGACTTTTTTAAGGTTCTTGCATTAGTCTTCGTACGCAAGCTCATGGACCTATGTTTTACAAAGCGAGAACTTAGTTGGCTTGATGATCTTATGCCAGAGAGTAAGAAAAAGAAAGAAGATGACAAAAAGAAAAAAGAGAAAGAGGTAAAAAGGAAAGAATCTGAAATTTGCATCATTCCTTTTTTATATCTTGTGTACTATAGCAGTCACTGTCATAATCACTTTACTTGAATCAGCTCCTCTGCCTTCAAAAGAGCCTTGTAAAATGTAGGTATAGCTATCCCCATCTTACACTGTGGTCTAGACAGTTTAGCTAACTTGGTGCCAAACAAACTCTTACCCATTTCACCATCTTAGTTATCCCTAGCTGTTGATACAAGAATACTTTCTGAAAAGTAAATATTTTGTTTTAAAGGTTGATAAAATTTCTTTTCTTTAAACATTTATTTATTTATTTGAAAGGCAGTGTTACTGAGAGAAGAGAAGACAGAGACAGGTAGAGATCTTCTTTCTGGTGGTTCACTTCCCAAATGGCTTCAATGGCCAGGGTAGGGCCAGGCTGACGCTAGGAACCTCACTGGGGTCTCCCACGCTGGGTCAGGGGCCCAAGCACTTGGGTCATCCACTGCTTTCCCAGGCCAAAGCAGAGAGCTGGATTGGAAGTGCAGCAGCTGGGGTTCGAACCAGCACCCATATAGGATGCTGGCACTGCAGGCAACGGCTTTACTCACTATGCCACAGCACTGGCCCCAGTAAAAGAACTCTTTATAGCAAATGTCCTAGAGTTAAGCACTCCCAAGGACTTTTCTCTGTGCTCAGCATTCAGTTTCCATCCTTCACATGACTTCTTGGGTCAAAATGGTTGCAGCTATTGTGTTAGTATTAGGAAGAGACAGAGGGCAAAACGGATTTTCCCTCGAGCAGCCTAGGCTCTTTGTTGTTTTAAGGGGTCTTTCCAGACATGTTACCCAAGGAGTTCTTCTACCACATGGCCTCACTGAGTTGTAAGGAATGCTGAGTTACCGAGTTTAGGGGTGTTTTTCATTTTTTTTTTTAAATAAAAATCTGGGTACATTGCCACCTTTAGATGCTGGGATTTCTGTTAGTAAGGAAGAAGATCTCTTATACTGCCCTACATCCCACTCCCCTTAACAGATCGTAAGTCTTACCCAGTTCCCCTGTCTTGATGATTCTCAACTTGGAGTGACCTCCCCTCCCACTTTCAGTGTCTGAGACATTTGAAGGGGCTGTTACTAGCATCTGATGATTAGACACCTTTGATACCATGAAATATCTTTTACATATTGCACCTCCCTCTGCAGCAAAGAATTACTGATGTCAGTATTGCTGAGATTGAAAAACCCAGACTTACCAGTGCAGCTTTGCTCATGTTGCATAGCAGTGAGAGACATGAGATTTCAGAGTGTGATCTCTCAGTATTTACCTGTATTAACCAGTCATCAGACTTCATGTGGACTAGCTGATACATAATTAGTGTTAACAATTTACTGATAGAAATAAAAATTAAGGCATTTAAGGTTAGTCTTTGTAACGAATTGTTTCATTTTGTGCTCCAAGTGTGTGTTCATGATTGTAAAGGGGATTTTCAGTTATGCAGATACAGACAAGAAACAGATATTATCAGTGTGGGTTTCTAAGTCTTTAACATGTTCTAGATTAACCTTTTCTCTTGGAAATGTTCTGAGGAAAGTAATCTCTTCATGTGTGTGCTCTAAAGGAAGCTGAACGCATGCTTCAAGATGATGATGAGACTGTGCACCTTCCGTTTGAAGGAGGAAGTCTCTTGCAAATTCCAGTTAAGGCCCTAAAATATAGGTGAGATATAACTTTATTTTGTAAAATGTGTTTTATTTTTATGTACATGCAAGTGCATAAGTAAATGATGTAATGTTTCTTTGATGTATTGACTTCTATTTTTAGAAAGATCATAAAATCTGCTTCTGGCATATCAGCTAAAAGATACACAATTTGAAAAGGAGTTTCCTTCACTCCTTTCCCACCTGGGAAAGGGCAGCAATGAGGAAAAAGCTCAGCGTCAGACCAGAGTCTTTTTTTTTTTTTTTTTTTTAAGATTTTTATTTATTTATTTGAGAGGTAGAGTTACAGACAGTGAGATGGACAGAGAGAGAAAGGTCTTCCTTCCGTTGGTTCACTCCCCAAGTAGCCGTAATGGCCGGAGCTACGCCGATCCAAAGCCAGGAACCAGGAGCTTCTTCGGGTCTCTCACGTGGGCGCAGGGGCCCAAGCACTTAGGCCATCCTCTACTGCTTTCCCAGGCCACAGCAGAGAGCTGGATTCGAAGAAGAGCAGCTGGGACTAGAACTGGCGCCCATATGGGATGCTGGCGCCACAGGCATAAGATTAACCTGTACCATGGTTCTGGCCCCCAGACCAGAGTCTTGAACTAACTTTCATGCACAGCTGATGAGCTTTACTTATCTTCCAACATTCCTAAAACTCTCCTAGTTTCCAAATGTGTGATTTGACCATTAATGGTAAGGACTCAGATTACAGAAAAATTGTGCATGAAACTTATTAATAATTTTTCGTGTGTGATTTGTATTTAAATTTAAGAACCAAAGATATAGAAATTTGGAAGTGTGAAGTTTTTAGTAGTTTTAAAAGATTAAAAACTCGTATTTGTGTATGTATCTGATTCCTGTTTCTAGAAATCTGTTCCAATTCTGCTAACAGCTAATGCTAGTTAGAGTAATCAGTTTTAGAATATACATAGGTTCCTTCTTTGTCCAGATGCTGGACACTGTTTAATTAACTTGCTTAAATCCTTTTTGTTTTTTAATTTGTAACCATTCTTTATCAATTTTAACAGAAGTCACATTTGGGTGTGTGTGTGTGTGTGTGTGTGTCTGTATGTGTGTTTTATATATGTATATATTATATATATATATAGTTAAGGATTTATTTGTTTATTTGAAAGAGTTATGGGGTGGGGGGAGGTAGAGAGACAGGTCTTCCATCCACTGGTTCACTCTCCAAATGGCTGCAACAGCCAGACCTGAGCCAATTCAAAAGAGCCAGGATCTTCAGCCAGGTCTCCCATATGGGTTCGGGGAACCCAAGGACTTGGGTCATTTGCTGCTTCTCCAGGCCATTAGCAAGAAGCTGGATTGGAAGTGGAGCAGGAACTGGTTCCCATATGGGATGCCATTGTCATAGGCAGCAGCTTTATCCACTATGCCGTAACGCTGGCCCCTGGACTTGTATATGTTGATTAATTGTGATAAATGAATTTGTATTATTTTCCTCTTTTCGCAATTAATATTATCGTTGGCATTATTGTGTCTCTTTGCATGATTTTCTCTTATCAACTGTTGATAGACTATAAACTAAATGCCAAGTAAAGAGATCGTCATGTCTCCAGCTACAATGTTCTGCTTTTCTGGGTTTTGTAATTAATTAACTATGTGTAATTAATGAATTAAAATTAATGGATTAACTTCATTGATGGCTTCTAAACAGGTTCTAGGGACTGACTTCTGTTGTCTTGCTTTGTCCCTTTTTCAGTGTGGATATAGATGGATGTACTTTTAAGTGGAGTCTTATAATTATAAAAAATTATGGATATTTGTTTTTTCCTTTTTTTTACTTAAATGATGATATGAACCATGATTCATAATGCTTTGCTTAAGACTTAAACATCACAAATGCCAGAAAATGACTAGCCTGTTTGTTAGAATTTATCTTTGGATTATTTGCCATGAAGATCAAATGAGATAGTTCATGACAGCATTTGGAAACTATAAAATCCTGTAAAATATGAAAATAACTTTATAAGTTTTATTTGGGAGTTGGCAAATAAAATATATAGTTTCTTTCAAAAGAGGATGTTAAATTCTGCTGATGGGGAAGTTCTTATTTATATGAGGATATTTGAAAGCTGGAAGCTCCATCAGGAGTTCCTTACTTCGGTTATTTGAAGTTGGCCATCAGGTGACTGGGTATTTACTCAGGGTAGGCAGGCTTTCAGGTTGGATGACTCTGCCCTTGGGAAATTGGGTGTTCAGATTCCCAGAGACTTTTAAATGGCCGTGTCCTTCTTCCCTGCAGTCTTTCTTTTAAACAATGTTCTGATTTAAAGCATGAGCAAATCAGCACTTTTAGAATGGTGGTCTTAGCCATTCATAACCTAGCTGCCATCACATTGTTTATTTTTTAATTTAAACATGTATTTGAAATAAAGTGTATATATCAAGAAATTCACATGAGTGTACAGATAATGAATCTGAGCACGCTCATAACCAACACCCAAATTAAGAACAAAAAGTTACTGGTGCTTTAAGAGTCCTCACTGTTCCCCCTCTGTTTTTTTTAATGGGTCACATTATTAACATGATCTAATATGACATTTGTATTTGTAGCTTGTCTGCATGAAATCTTTTGGTGAAGACAAATGAATTTCTATTAACTTCACAACTTTCATATTACTTGTGACTGACAACCTTGAGCCCAAAATTAATTATTTATGGATATCATCATTATTATTGGATTTGGGGTCTTAAATTCAGTTTTATAATACATTTATGTCTTTTGTAATAAGTAGACAATATTATGTCCTTTGGATTTTGATAAATTTGATAAAATAACAATTTTACACTAAAAATGTGAATGCCAGTTAAGTGTGGTATTTTTGTGTTAACTGTCGAAATATTTTCCAGACCTTTGTTTTCAACTTTGAGGTGTTACCTCAAAGTCTTTTAATGATTTATAAAGACTATGAAAAACAAGGGCTTTAAAAATTATAGTCTTGGCTTTTCTGTGTAAATATTTGGTGAGGCTGAAATTTGTATCAGTTAACAAAATTTTCTAACTGATATGAAGCTGTATTATTCTTTATAAGCACATTAATATATTCTCTTATATTATTTCAATAGTATACTGGTACTCAGAGCCAAGATGGTTAGAGAGCACCATAGCTAATAAAACCCCAAATTGAATTATGAGGTGAAGTCCCATAAATAAATCCTAATTTAGTTAATCTCACTACTAGTTTTAGTTATAAAGAAAGATGTAATCTTCCTTGAAGCCTTTATAATGTAACTCCAAAATTCTGGTACCTTGCTTGATCCTGGTTTCAGTGCATGGCAAGGATTTTCTCAGTTTTGAGTTGGTGGAAGCAAATAAACACGTAAGACAATAAGTGACAATATTAATGCTTATGCAAGTACTGAATACTAACCACAAAGTGTGTTTGTTCTTCAGTGTTGATCCCTCAGTTGTTAACATATCAGATGAAATGGCCAAAACTGCACAATGGAAGGCACTTTCCATGAGTACTGAGAATGCCAAAGTAACCAGATCTAACACGAGGTAGCTATAATTATTTATGCATTTTCTAACTATAGCTATTTTTTTATTTTACTTACTTATAGCTATGCAGTAAAACCATTACAATTAACTTAATTTACCTAATTTATATTCTCCTTAACAAAACCAGCTTTCCTTTTCCTGTCTTCCTTTTACTATATACTAGAGTCAGGTATTAATAATTTTTTTTTCATTTTTCAGTTTAAAGTTGCCTATTTTTATTATTTTACAAAAAAAATTCTTTAACAGTATGGAATAAATCTATAAATGCCAAAACCATATAAAAAAGGTAATTTTTCATGCTTAAATGAAGTCTAAATGAATACCTCAGTCATTATCTCTGATGGTCCAAGAAAAAAGAATTTTTCCTTTTGTGTTTTGTTGTTTTGATTTTAGCATATCTTTTCTTTAGGGGAGACAAATGTTTTTCTTGAAGTGGGAGAAAGTTAATCCATTATATAAAGTCCATCCAGTCTTGTAATGGACATAACACATTATGTAACCTTTTTTCTTGCTTTCGCCATTGCTTTAAGGCCTGAGACCTCAGGGATTCTATTTTGATAATAATTAGTACCTTAATCTCGGTCTCTAGGGAAATGGGGTATCATCTTATAAAGGTACTAACTGATTCACATTCAACAAATCTTCTGTGTACACTTTGTGCCAAAGTTTGGTTTGAGTGTCATTGTATTCTGCTAGGCATCAGATCAAAACTTTTCCAGGGCAAGTAATCACACAACTATTTCTGTTTAATTTGCTATCTTTTCTGGGCTCTGTCTTAAAATAATTAAGCAGCTTTTTTTCATTCTTTCCCTGCCCTCTTTTAGAGTCATTTTACCACTTAATCTTTATCATCATGTTTTTCCTTCCTGTAGTTATTTTATGAGTTCTGATTTTCTAAGCCAGGCTGATTCCTTTCTTCACTTCTACCTTTAGTGTAGAAAAAATTTTAAAGTTAAACTCTCATTTTTGGAGACACCATTCTGTGCAGGCACCATTTCACTATGAATATTCATTTTACTCTTGGTAATTTGTTATACTTTGTCAATACCCTTGGCCCAAATGCTTATATTTTAATGTGTGTTTCAGACTTCTGCCTGTTGTGTGCCTTTGCCCCTCTATTCCAAGCCACATGGGAATACAGAGAATGTCTTACTGTATCATTTAACGTAAAAATATTGGGAGGAACTTGCCTTCGTTACTTGTGGAGTGGGCAGCAAATTATAGTTTGTTCTTATATTTTGGTTTTTCAGATTCTGGATAGTCATGTGCTAAAACTAAGTCCATGTACATGGAGCCACTGTGTTTGATATTAACTTAATAAAACAGGATAAATTTCTTGCTTTTGTATTTTTAAATCATATTTGGTAAGAAGTTTTGAAAATTGGCTGCCTTTTTGAGAAAATTATTTGATACATATTTAGGTTGACGAAGAATTATATATTAATAGATTTGTCAGTGAAATAAACATCAGAGACTATAAATACTCTGTTCATGTGAAGTAAAACTAAAACATATTTATATACTGACCAATTTTAGGGAGTCTGTCTTCAGTTTCCAAAAACACATGAATTGCAATTTTAAACATAGGCTTTTTTTTTTTAACTAAGGATTTTTAATACTTTCTAATTCACTTTACTGATGGAAAAAAGAAAGCTGTAAAATAATTGGATGTCATAAATTCATAGTGTTAATAGTTATCTCAAAAGGTTCCTTGTTGGTCATTATTAGAATCTAGTAATTGTCAATTTAAAAATTATTTATTCTCATTCTTTTGTTTTAAATAGCCCTGAAAAACCTGTGAGTGTGAAAATAAATTTTGAAGATGAACCAACAAAGAAATACATGGATGCTGAAACTTCATTATAGGATTGAACCCAGAGGAATTATATATAGATATATATATATACATATATATAAAATGTGTGTGTCATGTCACTAAATATAAAACAGTATTGTATGTCATGCTGTTTATGCATGACTACTGGGTTTTTGAAGTAGTGTCTGAAGTTTGTTATGAGCACCATGGAGACTGTGTATATAATGAAATAGTCTCTTAGAAGTGAGGTACATGGTTCTTACCATTCAAATATTTATTCTGCTGGAAAAAGTTTTTTTTGTTCTGCAATAGAAAGATGGGGGGAAATGGATTCAATCTATTTTTCTTAAGTTTCTGTTCATCAATGGCAGTTCATATCATCCTTAAGTGATACATGCTTAGTCCATATATTTATAAATTTTTCTTGGGTTTCTAACATTTTCCCTATATAGTCACAAAAGTGAAATAATTAGTGCTAGTGCTTTATGGGAAGAACAGGGAGTCTTTATGCCAATGCTGTGGGGAAAATGGTAGCATATCAAGGCTTCTGTGTGTGTGTATGTGTGTGTATATCATATGCAGATGTCCATCATATTTCACAAATGATGGCAATTTCTTGGCCATAGGGGTGAGTGTAGAACAATTGTAAACTTACTAGATAAGAGCCATAGTTTTTAACCTTTATGTTTTGGGAAATGTTTTAACTCTTAAAACTCCCATATCTAGGTTTCCATTCTGGCACACAAGTAAAATTGCATTTGATTTTATAATTTAGCATCCATACCAGCCATAATTTTAGAAGCTATAAATGCCAATTTGCAGTAGTTGAGTTTTGTTACTTTTGGAGAAACTTTTTAAAATCTTTAGGCTGTTTATAGAGCCCCTATTCCCACTCAGTTTTCTGCCTTTGCTCTCTTTTACTTAAAATGGGTTAGTTTGTATCAGGCTCAAGTGCTTGATTATTTTTCTATCATAAGTAGTATGATTAAAAGAATCAGGAATCAGAATTCTCTCAGATGGGTTAATGATCAGTATTACTTTATTAAGAATTACTTTTAATTTTCTGTTTTTATTCTTTCTATTGTATAGATTATATTTAATAAGTTGTTACCTGCAACTTCATTTTTAAAATATTTTATTTATTTTAACTGATAGGCTTAAATAATTCATACACATCTGAAAAGGTAACAAATTTATAGTAAACTGTTCATGTACATTCCTGGTGCTCCCTTGCATTTGTTTATTATCTGAAAGCAGTTGACAGATTTTTACATCTTTGATATGAAGCACTGCCGTATTTGTATTTAAAAAGGAAATTTGACATTTTACGTACAGCTCAGATTCATGGCATTCTTTCTGTTTTGTGTTGGGATTTGTTATTTTTAGTTTTCCTGAGCTGTCTTTTTATCTTCTGGCAGATCTTTTTAGCCATTTTTTTGTATACTCTTAGCTCCACATGAAATAAATAAATGGTTTTATTAAGCCTGTAGGACTGGATGAATGGAATTGTGAAACCGATTTGATAGGAGAATAATTTAGAAAATCAAACTTGAGTATTGAGAAGACACAGAAATATGACTCTTAGGATGAACATTTTAATGAGATTCTAATATTCCCTTTAGTTATTTCTAATAAAAACGCAAATGTACGAACAATTGACCTGATAGAGAAAAGATCATGAAGAATGCCAAAAGCTGATATTTTAGTGGTTCTGGAGTGATTTTAGTCCATTCTAAAGCTGTTATCGTAATGTAATTTCCCCATCTGAGACAGTAATTGTCAGATTTTAGTTAAAATACAGACTCAACCTCTGCCTCAGATGAGATGTTAGAAATGTAGCTGCTTTTCTCCAGACAACATAGCTGACATTGTTTGGTACTGTCTGAAAAAGAGTTAGACTCTATGGGCAATTGATAGAGTATTACCCATGGTGCTTATTGGGCATGAGCTTCCATTGAAGTGATTCCTTTTTATTCATAGCGGCGTAATGATTTTCAAAGTCCCCAGTATTTGCTGCTATTTTTTAAACTCCCCTGAACCTGAGGATTTCCTCACATCATTTCCTTGTGTTTGGACATCAAAGGGTTAACAATTGTACCTATTTTACAAGGAAGTGATTTTAAAATATAAACTGAAAACTACCTGGGAAAGTGTTTTTGTAATTTTATTTAATTATGTATAGTAATTTTAAGTGCCAGAAAAACCATGACTTGCAAAATACTTTGCACTCAAAACGTTTTTACTGTGTTCCTAATTGTTAAGCATTTCTGCTTTCTTTTGACTACTTGATTTACAAAATGATCTGATATGACTACTCCATTGAAGAGCAAAGGTAACTCATGTTTAAGTAATTAACTGCTTGTTTTAGATATTTCTTCCACTCTTTTTGAAAAATGTCAATCATGGATAGCATTCATTGCAAGACAGTGAAAGGTAATTTACTACATATATAGATTTTTAAATGTTGCCTTAAATAGGTGTATATGAGCAGTAGTAATTGCTATGTACTGATTTACCTCAAGGTGCAAAAGAATTAAACTTGTACATATTCCATTTACAAAATAAATTCAACTGAACAGCCCTGCACTTTCTTAGATGCCTTGATTTCCAGAATGGAGCTTAGTGCTACTGAATGCCCTGGACACAGGGCCACCTCAGGATCTTCTTCTCCACTCTTATTTATTTATAGATGTCTGTTTACAAAGACTTTAATAAATCCTGGTGTTGACCATCTGAAACTTACTTTCTTCTGAGTGCTGTTTCAATCTAAAATAGCAGCTTTTGAGAAACAATGAACCAACTTTCTTAACCATAAAAGGATGATTCCATGTATTCTTTAATAATATTAAATATGCTGAAGTGAAGCACACAATCTTTCTAAGTGTGTGTGTGTGTGTGAGAAAGAGAGAGAGTGAGATAGAGAATGAATGTTATCAACCTTAAATCTCTTAACATTGTTTTAAAAAAGCTGTGGCGTACCAATGTTCATATTTGCCAAGTCTTCTGTAAAGCATTTTAGACAAAATTTTTATGTGCTAATGGATGCATTTTATAAAGCAAATCTGTTTATCATTCAAAATTACTAATCTTTGTTTTCTCCATCCAAGAAACAAATGTTTCTTCCATTTACTCAGTTTCCATGTGAGAATAAAAGCTTTTATCTTTTTCCTTTCACAAAGGCAGGTTCGAAATTCTGTGAAAAGTAAAATGGTCTCTAAACCTGAGGTATAACACAAGAGCTTGCTGTTTAGAGGGTTATATCCTGTACCTCAGTTCTGTAAGTGTGCTCAACAGTTTAACATGTGAATCCTGTTAAAAGTGCTCAGATTTCGGATGTGTAAGCCATTGATGTCATTCAAAAATGTTGTATTAAATAACTTAGTGTTTTAAATTTATTTATGTAGATCACATCATTGTTACGGTATGCAGTGCAAATATGTGAATTGTCTTTTGGTTTATTCCACAGTTATTTATTTTTTAGAAAGTAAATATAAAGAATTGAAGAACACTTAAATTTATAGTGTTCAAATTGCAAAATTTGGGAATTTTAATGTAAAGTCCGTTTTGTGACTTAAAGAAGTGAAATAAGTGTTGATTATACCAAGTAGTTGGAAATGGAATCATCTAAACATTTTAAAAATCTAATTAGCACATATTAACTTCTACATTTAACTTAATTGTTATACCCCAATTTTGTTTGGTTTTGTTTTTAATCAGATTTTTGCACATTGATTGGTTTTTGTGTTGTGGCTTTTCTTTTTTTATTATTATTATTCAAGGGTTTGGTTCTTGGTGTTTTTTTTTTTTTTTTTTTTTTTTTTTTTTGTAGGGGGGAGATTGTTTTCCAGTGTTTACTGTGTTTAAATAAATAAAATTGAATTTTATTGTTCATTTATATAATATTTGATACCTTGGTGTAATTTCACAGTAGAATTCCAATTTTTATGACTTTTATAATATTTTCTTTTATAATAAAATCCAAAGCAAATTAAACATTTAAATTGTAAACTGATATGTTTCATTTATATGAAGTTAAAAGTCTCTACCAAGTCTATAATGTGAATGATCCTGCCTTTCAAATTTGTTTTATAATTGTTAAAACTATTTTTTGGAGATGTTATTGAAGTTGAAAGAGCAATAAAGTCTACTTAATTAGTTGTTGGCTTTGTCTTCCTTATCTTTCTCAGCTGGAGATTGGAGTAGGGAAGGAAGGGAATATGAGTGATTTCCCCTTCCTGCCTCCTAAAATTCATGTGCATTAGTAGGAGAGAGTCAGAAAAGAGAAAACAGTAAGAAAAGATGAGATGAAACTGTGTTTCAGAATCACTATTGGTAGTTAAAAATATGGAAGTTGATCATTTTTTTCTCTATTTTAAGACACACATTCTGAAATTTTGTGTCATATCATAATTTGCAAGATAATACTCTCTCGCAGGCTCAAGACTTGTCCTTTGTTGGTAATGGCTCGTTTTTTTTTATAAATATTTTTCCTTATTGATGTCCAATGGCAGGTCTTGGTCTGTGTGTAGCACTCCTATGTTTTCTGCCCTGAAAAGCTAGTGACATCTCACTGAATGTGATGAACTTTGCATCTGAATTGTGAAAATGTGCTTATTCTTTTTGGAAATTGCATTTGAAAATCTGTTTATTCTAGGAAAAAGTATGTCACTTCATAATAGCTGTGTATAGGACGTTAGCTTTGATGTTGCACAGTAAGGCATATGTGGTCTTGAGCATCGGTTCTTCCTGTGATTTACCTTTATGTTACTACCTCTGTGCTTTTAATGAAAGATTCTGTTGTTTAGAAACCTTCCTTTCTGCTTCTCTGGGTTCTTGCAAAACCCATCTTCGGTCTCCATTTACTTCAAATGGTAGCCTTCTGCTTTCAGTCTACATCATTTTCACTCCTCTTAAAGAGTGTCTATGTGTGTTTAAATATTCTTAATCTGCACCGCTTGTTTAGAGGAACTTTACAAATTCGGGGAAGTGGAGTTGTGTTCTTACTGAGTCCGTTCTAAATACATGTTTCAGTGCCTATAAAACTAACCTCTATTTTTTATGCTGTAGTTAGTGGACATTATAGGTTTTGTTTTTTGTTGCTAGGATTTATGTATTTACTTGAAAAGCAGAATGGCAGAGAGGGGGAGTTAGAGCATTATGTTCCATCCACTGGTTCCCTCCCGAAACACCTACAAAAGCCAGGATTGGGCAAGACCACAGCCAGGAGCCTAGAACTCCAGCCAGGTCTCCAGTGAGTGGCAGGAACCCAAGCAGTTGGGACATCGTCTGCTGCCTCCCAGGGATGCTGGTGTCCCAAGCAGTGACTTAACCTGCTGTACCACAGTGCCCGCCCCTACATTATTACTTTTGAAAGACAGGATCTACAGTAGCTATTCATTCATTTCAGGATAGTAAATGGGTATTAGCAAACCAAAAAGGGGGTATAAGGTCTTACCAGGTTTCAGCCCTAGTACGTGAGCTATCAGCTTGGTGTAAGCATGGCCCCGCTGGCGTCTTTATCACCTAACAGCACAGTACGGACTCAGCATTGGAGATGACAGTGCATCTCTTCTAGAGCCAGTGTGTTCCATGCCTCTTGCATCTTCTATGCAACTTTCAATCACATAATTAAGACTTAGTTTTCTGAAGAGTAGTGCAGGTGAGAAACATTTTCAGTGTTCTGATAGTAGACGTTCATTGAAGTCTTTTTTTTTTAACTTTAATAAATATAAATTTCCAAAGTACAGCTTATGGAGTACAATGCCTTTTTCCCCCCATAAATTCCCTCCCACCTGCAACCCTCCCCTCTCCCGCTCCCTCTCCCATTCCATTCACATCAAGATTCATTTTCAGTTATCTTTATATACAGATGATCAATTTAGCGTATATTAAGATTTCAAGAGTTTGCAGCCACACAGAAACACAAAGTGAAAAATACTGTTTGAATACTAGTTATAGCATTAATTCACATTGTACAGCACATTAAGGACAGAGATCCAACATGAGGAGTAAGTGCACAGTGACTCCTGTTGTTGACTTAACAAATTGACACTCTTGTTTATGGCGTCAGTAATCACTCTAGGCTCTTGTCATGAGTTGCCAAGGCTATGGAAGCCTTTTGAGTTTGCCGACTCCGATCTTAATCTAGACAAGGTCATAGTGCAAGTTCTCTCCTCCCCATTGAAGTCTTTCTATATGAACAGCTTGACATTGAGAATGTATGTGTGGAATACTTCACTCTTGCCACTCAACGCCAATCTTCCTTGCCCTTGGCACCTTATTTGTTGACTGGTCCCATTAATCCTGCTGGTTTTATGTTCGTTGAGGCTTAATTCTGCTGGATCTTCCTGAGTTTGGCTCTCATCTCACCTTTCTTCATTTCCAAAGCAGGGGGAAAGAGCTTTTAATTTTTAACACAAATGCAAATCAAACTATTGTTATCCCTTAGGAATATTTACTCAAAGCTGAGAAATCATTAGGGAAGGGTTCACTGTCTTAAAATTTTTGGTAGATTTAAGTACCATTGTTAGCATTAGCAGGCATTTAGAGTTAATATAGAATTGAGTAGGGCCCTATTGAAGACATTTTCTTGCTGAAGGCTATGAAATCACACTGTAGGTTCAACCTGCCCCATCTTTAACTAGCCTGTCAAATTGGTCTGTTTAGGAAACTTTGTGACATATTTTTTTCCAACTCTAAAGTAGGATGGAAAATAATGTCTATCAGATGATGATGTGAACAGTAAATGAAGTAATATGAGGAATGAGTTTGGAACAGTGCCCAGCACATAATTGAACACTGAATAAATTTTTTTTAAGTTCCAGGTGTCAAATATCTTGGGCTTTATTAATGTAATTCAAGGATTTTTTTTTTTTTATTAAAAAAAGCTCAAGACTCTCACAAGAGGTGAAGTAAGTTGCCGTAGGCTCCAGCGAGTGATGGGTGTGAGATACAGGTCTTTCCCCGCGGGGTATACCTCTCATATTGTGTTCCAGTAATAGAATGCTCCTATGCTATATGGGAGATACTTGGCATGTGGCATTTCTTTTCAGACTGAATCTTTGCCTTGAAAGAGAATTGAACTGATGTTTATGACACAGAGGTTCTTGAAACTGAACATCCTAGCGTGTAGTTGCTCTTTCTCACCTACTGTATTACAGGTGCGAAAAATGGGGCATCAGTAGGTAGCTGTGGGGCCGGGTGAGGGCTGCCCCACAACCTTAGGCACCACCTGCCTCTCCCGCGCACAGCTTTGGGGCTGGGCCTAGCGCGTTCTCTGGTTGCTACAGCAACCCTGGCAGCGTCACACGTCGCTATGGCGCTCTGCACTGCGCAGTAAGGCTGCTCCCGATTGGCTAAGGCGCCCCGGCGAGGCGGAGAAAGCCGCGTCCGCATTGGCTCAGCCAGCGCCGGTTGATGGCCTGGAAGGATTTGATTGAAAAACCAACGGTGCCGCTGGCCGCTGCGCCCCTAAGGTAGAGCGGACCGGGAGTGGGCTGAGGAGAGGGCGAGGCGGGCCGAGACCGGACGGGAGCCCCGGTGGCGCGGCCGCGAGGATGAGGAGGACGATTCGGAGATTGGTCTGAAGGAGGGAACGCCCCTCCGGCGCGGTGAGTGAGGCGGGAGCTGGCACTCCACCTGCCGGCGCGCCGAGCGAGGCCAGGTCTCCGGGGAGTAGCCCCGAGCTCCGGGAGCCAGGGGCAGGGGCCGTCGCGGGCGGCCGAGGCAGCCGCGGGGTCTGCCGGACGGACGCGCGAGGTGTCACGGCGCTGCGGGCCGGAGGAAGGCTCGGTCTGGCTGGCCTGAGCCTGTGTCTCAGAATCCGCCCGACGCCTCTTCACCTCCGTCCCGAGCTCCGTCACACAACGCTGCCTGCTTTTCTGCTTCCCCGCTCTGCCCTTCAGGTACCATCTCAACGCTGACCGGCCGCCTCCTCTTGCCAGTTCACGCTTCCCATGTACAGCCCTACGCGCCGTCTGGCCCGGGCCCCACCGGACTTCCTGCCCTTGAGTTCTCTGCCTCGGTACTGTCACCGGCTCAGTTACCCACAGCCACATCCTGTGCCCCTTCCTCCTGTCTCCATCGGTTATTAAGACCGGATCATGTTAATAGAAGAACCAATTCCCCCATCACCATCTCCATTCATAGTATCTTACTGTTTCTCTTGGCTTAACTCACCAGTCTGGCTTTCCTGATTCTATTCTGATCCTATCTAATCCATTTTCCTTACCATTGTTAGAGTGAAAAAGCATGTAAGGATATTTTTCCTCCCCTGCTTAAAATCTTGCCAAAGTCCCCCATTTCCCTATTACAATCCTTAGTCCTCCTAACAGCAGTTCTGTTCGGGCTGTTCTCAAGAGTATGCCACATTTTCTGTTGTGTGTGATTATTTTGACCGTTGTATTCCCAGCATCTGGCCCAGTACCCAGCATATGGCAGGTGTTCAACAAATACTTGCTAATGAATGAATCTCTAAAAAAGGGAGTTACTGTTTTTTTGTAAGATCCATATTCGTTCCCAAAAAGTTAGAAGTAACTTCTAGCCAATGGAACTTTTGGATATAAAAGGTGAATGTTCAGTTTATGGGTTTTACTTGTTAGTTGGAAACGTATTTCAATTCACAGTCTATATTTCATGCCAAAGTCATTACGATGCTAGCAGTTGTTATGTGCTATAATAAAATTATGCAAATTGGGGCGGGACACACAGCTGACAAGAGCCAGGCTTTGGAGTCATATATCAGTGGGTTGGAATCCCTAAGTGGGCACTGTGACATGGTAGGCTAGGCCTTCATCTGCAGTGTTAGCATCCCATATGGGCATCAGTTCGTGTCTTGGCTGCTCCTCTTCCAATCCAACTCTCTGCTTATGGCCTGGGAAAGCAGTGGAAAATGGCCCAATTGCTTATGCCCCTGTCACTCATGTGGAGACCTGGAGGAAGCTCCTGGTTCTTGGCTTCTGATCAGCTCAGCTCTGGCTGTTGTAGCCATTTGGTGAGTCAATCAGCAGATGGAAGACCTTTCAGTCTGTCTATCCCTCTCTCTGTCCATAACTCCACTTCTCAAATCAATAAATTAAAATCTTAAAAAAATAAAAAGAAATTTTTTCTCCAGGCTTTTAGCTCTGTGGCCCATGACAGCTTCTTAATCTGTGCAATGAACTGATAGTACCATCTACTTGATGGGACTGTTGTAAAGTTTATTTATGCATATACAATACTAAGTGTATGGTGCTTAGCATAGAGGACATTTTCACATCTTTAAAAACAATAACTGATGGTTGGAGGTGTGACACTTCATAATTAGTTTTTTTGTTTTGATTAATTTTGTTTTTAAAGATTTATTTATTTGAAAAGCAGAGATATAGAAGGAGAGAAAGAGAGATACAGAGGCAGAAAGAGATCTCCCAGCCACTGTGCATTTCCCAGATGGCTGCAGCTGCCTCTGCTGGGCTAGGCCAAAGCCAGGAGCTTCTTCAAGGTCTCCCACGTGGGTGACAGGGGCCTAAGCATTTGGACCATCTTCCATTGCTTTCTCAGGTGCACTAGCAGGGAGCTGAATCGAAAATAGAGCAGCTGGGACCTGAACTGGTGCCCATATGGGATGCCAACACTGCAGGTGAAGACTGAATCTTCTCCCCACAGTGCTGACTCATCATCAGTTTGAAAAAAAAAAATACCAGTCTTTGATTCACTTAAGTGCAATTTCTAGTATAGCATCATGTCATTATAGTATTTGATCATGAACATTTGTTTATGGCAATAGTTCTGAGGAGAGAATCATTCATCCAGTGAGTATTTACTGACTATCTGATAGGCCCAGAATTCCATGGCAGGTCATGGTGAACCAAAAGGAAATGCAATCCATAAAATCTTTAGAATGTGGAAGAACAGTCTGGAATGTTACTCTGCCTGTCTCAGCCAGCCAGGTTTAGAGGCTGAAGTTGGAGTGAACAGAGTTGAGCTCTTGAGCAGGCAGAAACGAGCTTATTGAGCACCTGCGCATTCAGCAGTGACCAAAACAAAAGCTCTGTTCTAGAGCAGTTCTCGAGGGCAGTAGAGCAGAATCTGTAGAAGAGAGATGCTGGAACCAAATTGCTTGAGTCCAAATCTTAGCTCCCCCACTGCTAAACACAGACTCTCTTTCAAATTACTTCACCTTTTTGCATCTCAGTTTCCTCAACCGTAAAACAGGGTGGTTGTGAACAGCACAGGAATTAATTTGGACACATTTCTTAGAATAGTAGTGGGTACACAGGAAATGCTATGAATATGTGTTAGTTATTTGTATTATGTTCTACTTGTGGTAGAGTGATAAGGCACAAGAAAAAAGTGAACAGGATGTGGGAATAGAAAGCGTTACCTTGAGGACAGGGTATAAGATTTGAATTTGAGAATGAATCTTATATTTTCAAAGATTGACTCTTCCAGAGGAAAGTATGCTTTAAGCATGTGAGTACTCATGTATGTGTCTGACATGTATCATGATAAAAAGCATGGATATGAGCACTAAATAAAATACCACTTCCCATTTGGTAAAATAACTCATACTTATCTGTAAGTCAGACTTCCACTTATTTCAGCTGAATTTTACAATTACAATAAAGATCATGCACTCAAGAGCTTGTTAAGTATTATGCACAAATAGTTTGGACATGTGTTCTGGCTTCAAAGCAGTCAGCAGAGCCAGCATGACAAAATAATAATCAAGTGGCCATATTTAGGAAAGAGACTATAAAAAGTCTCTCCTATAAAATATAAAAACCTCTGTAACTCCGCCTTTCAAGCAAATAAATAATTTTTTTTAAGATTTATTTATTTTAGTTGAGTTACACAGAAAGAAGGAGAGACATAGAGCGAGGGAGAGAGGTCTTCCATCTGCTGGTTCACTCCCCAACTGGCTGCAATAGCTGGAGCTGAGCTGATCTGAAGCCAGGAGCCAGGAGCTTCTTCCGGGTCTCCCATGTGGGTGCAGGGGCCCAAACACTTGGGCCATCTTCTACTGCTTTCCCAGGCCATAGCAGAGAGCTGGATGGGAAGTGGAGCAGCCCGGACTCGAACCGGCGCCCATATGGGATGCCGGCACTGCAGGCGGCAGCTTTACCTGCTATGCCACAGCACCAGCCCCATAAATAAATCTTAAAAAAAAATATTTATTTGAAAGAGTTACAGAGAGAGGTAGAGACAGAAGTAGAGAGAGAGAGGGAGAGGTCTTCCATCTGCTGGTTCACTCCCCAAATGTCTGCAATTGGCTGGAGCTGAGCTGACCCAAAGCCAGGAGCCAGGAGCTTCTTCTGGGTCTTTTTTTTTTTTTCCAGATGTCTTTGTTTTTTGTTATTTTTTATTTATTTATTTATTTTTTGACAGGCAGAGTGGACAGTGAGAGAGAGAGAGACAGAGAGAAAGGTCTTCCTTTTTTTGCCGTTGGTTCACCCTCTAATGGTCGCCACGGCTGGCGCGCTGCGGCCGGCGCATCTCGCTGATCCGAAGCCAGGAGCCAGGTGCTTCCTCCTGGTCTCCCATGCAGGTGCAGGGCCCAAGGACTTGGGCCATCCTCCACTGCACTCCCGGGCCATAGCAGAGAGCTGGCCTGGAAGAGGGGCAACCGGGACAGAATCCGGCGCCCCCACTGGGACTAGAACCTGGTGTGTTGGCGCCGCAAGGCGGAGGATTAGCCTAGTGAGCAAAGGTGCCGGCTTCTTCTGGGTCTTCTATGTGGGTGGCAGGGACCCAAGCACTTGGGCCATCTTCCACTGCTTTCCGGGGCGAATTAGCAGGGAGCTGGATTGGAAGTGGAGCCTATGAGATGCTGGTGCTGCAAGATGGGGTGTTAACCTGCTGCACCACAGCACTGGCCCCAGCCATCAATAATTCTAAAGGAGTTTTACTTTGTTCTTTTAAAATATTTATTTATTTATTTAAAAGGCAGAGAGAGAGAGAGAGAGAGAGAGAGACAGAGGTATCTTCTGTCTGTTTATTAACTTCTGAAATGCCCACAACAGCTCTGTTTGGGCGAGGCCAAACCAGGAGCCAAGGATTCCATCCAGGTCTCCCACATAGGTGGCAGGAACCCAAGTACTAGAACTCAAGTACTGTTTCCCAGTTGCATTAGCAGGAAGCTAGTTTGGAAGTAGAGTAACTGGGACTCAAACTGGCACTCCAAAATGGGATGCTGACATTCCAAGCTGTGGCTTTAATCATTGTACCACAAATCTACCCTGTTTTGCCTTTTATTTAGAACTGACTGCCATGCTGTCATAAGAATGTTTTTTCTGATTTTTAAATTAAATTTATTTGAGAGACAGAGATACATACTTACATATATACATGCATAACATGCCCCCATCTCTCCAGATACTCACAACGAACTGAACCAGGCCAGGCTGAAGAAAGGAGCCCAGAACCCAATCTAGTTCTCCCACTTGGATTGTGGGAACCCATACTACTTGAGCCATACCCTACTTCTGACTAGGGTCTGTAGTAACAGGAACCTGGAGGCAGAAGCCAGAGCTGGAGGTTGAACCCAGACACTATGATATAGGATGCAGACATCCTAATCAGAGAGATCCAGGGACATTCCTAAGATCACTCCGTGGACAAACCTTGGGTGCTC